TTGACGATAGTCGTCGTTTTGTCGACCACCAGCCACAGTACGTCTCTCGTGTGGACAGGCCTCTGCTGCTCCACCGTCATCCCTATCCCTTTGCGTGTGTAGGTCAATACTCTTGGTCTGGTTCCTTCGCTGTCCCAGAAGTCGACCGGGACGAAAGAGTCGAAACCCGGGTGCGTGTTCAGTTGCACGTTTCCGTCCTTCCAGCCCGTCCAGGGTTCCTGGACGAGGACCACATCTATCTGAGCCTCCCAGCAGAGCTGCAGGAAAGCCGTGTGCGCCGGGGAGATCTTTCCGACGTTGCCCTGCGCAACGCGTAGCATCCGTGGGGTCGCCGCTCTCGGCTTACGTCTCCGAGTCGAGTTCGAGGTGGGTGTAGGCATTCGCGACGTTGTAGTTTGGCTTCTGTGCTGCCCGTTGGCTCCTGCTTGGCATGGGTAGCACGGGACGGTCGATGGAGGTGTTGTCGGGGGAGTCTTCGCCTTCGCCTTCGTCCGCCTCGTCTTCATCCATGCTGCTGCTGTCAGTGCTTCCGTCACCGAGGCAAACGATCGAGCTTGCGGAGGGCGTTCTCGTGCGCGCGCGCTTGGCGCCGGGTTGCTGGTTCTGGCTGGTGGAGGTAGGGACGCCTGCCGCCTCCTGGCTACTGTCGGATCGAGTAGCCTTGTACAGAGTGTCCGATGCTTTCTGGCCGGCCTTCCGGATCCGAGCCCGCTCCTTTCGACCGGGAAGGGAGACGACGCCGTTTACGACCGAGGGCCTCGCTGGGCAGTCTGTGTGGCCGGCTTGGAAGGGGCCGCAGCAGTTGGGACACTGGGGCCTGGCCATGCAAGGTCCCGTTTCGTGTGAGTCGGAAGGTCTTCCGCAGTTGCTGCAAGTCGGTCGTCGTCCGCAGAACCGGTTGGCGTGGTAGCCCTGGCAGCCGGGGTCATGTCGGATGAGCGTCCTTCGTTTTTTGATGGGCAGAGATCTGCCGCTTTGGTTGAAGAGCCTGAAGGGCGTGACCTCTGATGTGAATGATATGAGCCAAGATATTTCGTTCGTGACTGGGTTGGGCCCAAGGCGGGACGGTCGAGCAAGGACAGGCTTCTGTCCTGTCTGTGCGAAGACCTCATCTTCAACGAGTGTGGCTGGGTCCAGGACGTCCCCGCCAATGCTGTGTAGTTTTGTTGGGCATCGCGGCACAACGTATGTGTGCCACTTGATAGGCGTCTCGACTTGGTGGGCGCCGAGGCATTCCGCCAGCTTTGCCTTACTTGTAAGTAGTCTTTCCTGTATTTGCTTGTTTCGCGGCTTCAGAGAGTAACCTGTGCTGATATGGTAGACGTGGGGAAGGTCCGCTAGCCCCAGGCCAACGGCCTTACAGACGATCTGTCGTACGGCGAACGGTGCGATCTTCCGAGCGGCCGCTAAGCTTTCTTCCGGGACGCGGGCAAAGATGCGGAGGTCCTCCTTCGGCTGCGCCTGCGGCTGATCCTCGGCGGGGAGTGTGGCCTTCGGGCGGGCAGAGCTCTGGCAGCTCTGGCCGCTCCGGGTCGCCGCAGTGGTGTTGCCCGCCATCGGTGCGACGACAGCCGCCCAACTCCGGGCCGCTATTGGGCTTGTCTCGTGATTGATCAGTCTCTTGAGGGTTTGAATGACATAGGCAGTGGCTTCTTTCGCGATCTGCTTTCTAGAACCGTCAAAGCTGGCGACAACGCTGTCGACGGACCGTGCAATGGTCAGAAAGACGTCTTTCCGTGCCTCGTACTGTCTAGCTTCTTCTGCAAGGGCTGTCAAGACGGACCCTGTGGCAGATCCGCTCGGAGCAGATGCGGTAGAGGCTGCGGGCCCCTCGGCCGAGGTAGGGGCGTCGGTGGTGGCATCAAGCTGGCTTCCCGTTAGGCTGGGCCGGGTCGGCTGTGCCTCGGCGTCGCGGCGTCGCTTAGCTCTTGAGGTGGGGTTCGGCTCCGGAGGTGTCCCGGAGCCTGGTTCGGGGTCGGCTTGGTCGGCCGACATCAGTCCGGTGCCCGACGGCGGCTGTGAGGCCATCGCGGATGCGGGCTCCGGCAAGGGGAGGTGAAGAGTTTTCGGCTGTTAGTAATTTGGTGGTAGGCTCACTCATTCACTAACAGCAGATGCCAAGAAAAATTAGGCGAGAGGGAAGTTGTCGTCTAGTGCGGTAGTGATTGAACGATGACCTAGTGATCAGAGAGAAAATCAGCAAGCCACGCTTATGCAGGATATTTAGTCAAAGAGCTCACTTGACTTCTGTTTGTCGACTGCGTGGAAAACAAAATGGAGAGGTTGTAGATGGCAGGGGATAATTGTCACGTAACAGGGATGAGAACCGCAATCCACAAAGTGCCCGTCACGTGCTGTACCACGTGTATATCACTTACATACTGTATCCGTATATAGATCCTTCTCTTTTGTCTATTTCCACTTTGATAGGTTAAGCCACTTTACCACACTCTGTATGCCCATTGCTATGTGCCATAACTCGTGATAATAATGCTCAGGGCGGGGGGCCAACAAAACCAAGGTTCAGGAAAGTTCCATTCGAGCTCACGGATGTTCAAAGCTCGGAACGGGGAACCTTCCTCCAAATAAGCGTGGGCTGGGGTGTTCTTGCCTCGTCTGAGTATGAACGGGATCTCGCAGGAAAGTGTTGAGACTGTCGACCTCCTTTTCCTCCAGAACCTTGGGAGACGGTAGCCACGCTCGGCCGTACCTGCCTGCCCCTGTTCGCGAATCAAGATGCCGGATATTTCGGCGGCCCGACTTCTGAATGGTGTGCAGAGCGAGCCGGACGAACATCGGGGGGGGAAATTAGCCGAGATGATGTGCCGTGGTTTCTTGAGGCTATCGCGACACATGTACATTGTGAACTCTCTCTCACAAAGAATGAGCCGTTGTTCACGTTGTCATTACAGCGCTTCAACCATCAGTCTATCACAGCTTTGACCCCCTACTTACAGTCGCACCCATTTCTTGCCGAACAGCCAAGTCCGTAATGATCTCCTCACTTCCGCCGCCGACGATGTTAACTCGAAGGTCCCTGCTGATCTGTTCGACTCGAGCCCCAACGCCGCCACGCTGATACCCCGCACCACCAAATATCTGTTGTGCCTCTCGATTTGCCAGCTCTAGAAGACGTCCGCCATGAATCTTGGCCATGGCGATCCTTGATGCAAGTTCCGTGCCCATGGAGCCGGTAGCATGAGCATGATACGCAATCTGCTCGAGCCAGGCCCAATGCGACTCAATGTAGCGCGCCATCGTGATGAGCTTATGTCGAATGATCTGATGATACATGAGCGGCTTGCCGAATGTGTGGCGGTCTAGGGCATATGCCCAGGCGTCTTCCAGGCAAATTCTGGCTTGGCCATTCATGAGTACAGCGAGGATGAATCGCTCTTTGTTGAAATCTGTTTAGTCAGTATGTAACACGAGTTTCATTTCAACCTCTGATGGGGGTACCTACTGGTCATAATGTACTGAAACCCAGCGTTCTCTTGCCCAATAAGGTGGTTGGCAGGCACTTTGACGTTGTCCAGTGTGACCCATGTGCTGTCCCCAGCGTTCCAACCGCTATTACTGATCTTGCGTCGAGATACGCCGGGAAGATTGAGAGGGATGACCAGGACTGAGATGCCCTTGATTCCAGGGCCTCCAGTCCTGACAGCAGTTGTCATATGGCTGGCACGTATCGCACCGGTGATCCATTTCTGAAGGTTTATCAGTCCTGAGCCGTGACCAGTGAAGAGAAGCTGAGATTCATCAATATAGTGTTTGGATTCTTCACTTACCTTATGTCCATTGACCGTGTAGTATGTTCCATCATCTGATTTGATCGCCGTGGTCTTCAGATTCGCCAGATCGGAGCCACCTTCAAGCCTTTAATCACAGTATTTCCGAGAAATGCGTCCAACACAACTCACCAGTGGGCTCGGTACACCCGAGGCAAAAGGTCGTTTCCCCGGTGACAAGCCCAGGAAGCCACCACCTCTTCTGCTCTCCTGTGCCATGATGGATGATAGGAGGTACGCCGATTGTGGTGCCGCCGTTCAGCCCCACGGATACTCCGGCTGCCCATATTCTACTGGCCTCGTAGCTCACGACAAGAGAATGAAAGATGTCCCACTCTACGAACGATGTCAGAAGACGGCTTATCACAATGAAGCATCATGCTTACTCCCGGCTGGGACATTTCCTGGTAGAGGGATATCGCCAGCATATTGACGCGGCAACTCTGGAAAAGCCAGGCCTGATTTGGCGAAGTGAACTTTTGCTTCATCAGGGACATGTCCCTTCTCTTCCCACTCTTGGATATTGGGCGCGATATGCTCCTCGATGTACTTGCGCACATAGTCCCTCACCCTTCGATGGCTTTCATCGTAGTAAGGAGAAGTCAGGCTATTGTACCACGCTGGCTCCGCAAAGGGCGCAGGGTTGCCGTATGGCTCAACGACGGGAAGATTCTTGGCTTTGATAGACATTATCTCTCCTCAGAGCTCGTTCGATTCCTGCCCAGCATTCCTGTAGATGCCATGACTCTTGTCCACCAGTTTCCTAAAATAAATGTGCGGTCCGGTGCACGGTGCGGGATGAGCCGAGGTCCGTCTTGGATACAGCCGCTTGCCCCGCGCCATCCGTGTCGCTTCTTGTCACGTCTCGTCTCTACCCCGCGCTTGGGGGATGTCGGGGAAAGGGGGCTTAAATCGTTAGACTGGCCTTAGCGATCCGGATGTGCGATGCGGTCGGACTTTGTTACCTTTTGGCACGACTCGCGTCGGTGTTAGATAACGGCGACAACACTTGAGGCACAAGCTGGCACGGCTGGGCCAGTAACGCCTAGGTTTCGGCAACAAGGAAGCAGGCCACACCTTCTTTTCAGCTGAAATACGTCTGTTACTGCAGGCAAGGTCCTGTTACTATTTTCGACGGAGAGAGATGCTAAAGTGAAAGCAATTTGGGTGATTTTCTACGAAAAAGCATCTTCGACATTGGATCGCATTGCAGCAAGTGAGGTCGATGCTTTGTGACAGGCTCCAAACAAACCCACTTGATCGTCAACTTTGCCTACAGATTTTGCACCAAAAATGGGACTCTTCAGCCCGTAGAGTCGACTACAAAGGAACCCTTGATCTGACATCGAAGAATGCATACACCATGTATCATATGATATAGCATCGTAGCCATCGGCCGGAGAGATGTCTGCGACAGCCAAGCGCCCTCCCACAAGCAACTCGTTCTCGTGATTTGGAGTAACTCACAGCTTCGCATCTCACGATACCCCCCAAACCGAAAAGGAAATACCTCCTTCTCTTATTATCGGCCTCATTTTCTGAAAGAAGTATGTAAAGCCTCGGACGCGGCGAGTCATTTCGGGTCTTCGGCTTCGTGTTTGACGTCAGCGGTAGGACCTCTCCCTGTTCATCCCTGATTGACTTTTAAAGTTGTACAAGCGCACCTCTTTCCTCTTTCCCGCGCGTCTGGCTGGCCACCTACTCGACCGGCTATCAAACACGTGTATGTGTTGGCCGATCAAGCTGTCTCCGAATTGTCTGAACACATTGCTCCCGGCGTCCTGGGTATTGTCCGAAGAAGTCGAAACGCAACGGAAAGAATGTTGCACGTAGAATATCCGGAGAGAAGGGAACCAATAAGCCAGCATACTGATGCTAACGAAAGCTGCAGAGGGTCGGGATCTGAGCCGTCGTAAGCGAAGTTCTGCTTAGCAGAAACTCTACCATGTCAACGTCAAGCCATAACTTAGAGAGTTCTCAATCAACAGCTCCAGCTGCGCTGCAGTTGGTGGAATATCGCGAGATTCACGCGTTAGCAGGCAACCGGCCTGCATTCCTTTTACCGCAACATGTAGCTCTCTAATCCAAGTCCCGGGCGCTCAGCTGTGAAGGTGGTCACACTTTTGACTTTCCGTTATCGTGTACTCTGTCAAGGATGGCAGCACATACAAAGTTCCCGTCTCGCAACCCTTCTGAATGCCTTGTGTCGAACTCTATTCAGCTTGGGAAAGATCACCCACCGGCACGACGTTTCAGAGCTTGTTCAATTCAATCCATCCTCTCCCCTCCTCTTCTTTCATTGACTTTCCCAATCAGGTGTCTTTCCTTTCCCTTCTAGAGCCCTTCTAGTACTACTTTCTCAGCTTCTGCCTCTCGATGTCATCACCGCTGCTGCCCTTCCTATCAAATTTTCTCCTCTTCCTCCCTGCCACCTATGGAAGCGTCGTGACCTGTTGTATCGACCGACCGACCGATTGATACCCCGGACTCGGCATCGCGATATGTCGTTCTTTCGGTCATTGGACACGGTCAAAGGCATGCCTCTCATGACGCCGGAGCGAGAGGCTGCTTTTAGGGCAGAAAATCGAGCGGGAGAGGTGTACACGATTCACATCATCTTCTTTGTTCTCTCGATTCTTTCGGTTTGTGCCCGGCTTGCTGCGGCGAGGCAGTCTGGTCGGAGGTTGGCTTGGGACGACTGGCTGTCGGTAACTGCTCTGGTGAGTTTGTGATCTTCTTCGTGAACGAGTCGATGAAGTTGAAAGTCTTGTCACTTTCGTAGATTTCTCCATTATCCTCGAGTATTACACATTTCTCACCCATGCTGCAGGTTTTCATCGTCGGAGTGTTCACCGGCACGATGTTCTGGCTCAAGTTTGGGCTTGGTAGACACGAAGTAGTTGTTCACGAAGAAGATCCCATGAACATCATCCGATTCTATCAGACAATCTTCGCCAACGAGATTATGTATCCAATGGGGCTCGCAAGCGCAAGGTTATCACTAGTGATATTATATCACCGCATCTTTGGACTCTTCAGTGCAAGATACTACCTGTACGGTCTCATGTTCTTCATCGGGGCATGGGCAATCTATGCAGTAAGTCAGCTGAAATTCCAGCAGCAGAGACATACTCTAGAGACTGTCTTATGAGAGAGTGGATATAAAGGCGTGCTACATAGGACAGGGGATGATGCAATTGGGTAGTGTGTACAGATGCTGACATGAGATTTAGACTATCCCAACCATCGTAGCTTGCATACCCGTGCAAAACTTTTGGACTACACACAAGAACTGTCTTGATCTCTCAAAGTTATACATCAGTATAGCAGTTGGTAGCATTGTGACCGACTTTGTGCTGATACTCATTCCAATACCTTACGCGATGAGGTTGACGATGTCACCTTTCAAGAAGATGCTCCTCATTTCGTCTTTTGTATTCGGCGGTTTGTGAGTATCTCCGTTCTTTCCATGCTTCCGAGCAGATAAAAGAGGCAGACTTACTGAATCTTTACGATCAGCAACTGCTTCATCACCATCATAAGGTTAGTCAAAGTCTCAACCTTTGACTACAAAGATCCCACATGGGGAACCGTCGACCTGATGATTTGGACAGGATTGGAGGCTTATTGGTAGGCACTCGACGCCCATACACAATAACTTCTGTTCAGAGCTTACACTAATACGCGGATAGTGCCGTGATATGCTGCTGTCTACCAACACTTCGCCCCTTACTCCAAGTCCTCCGCTCTAAGTCCTCAGAAGACACTATCCAAAATGGAGGCGAAATGAGTCAGCCTGACGTCTATCTGAAAATGCCACCGCAAATAGCTTCTCGGTCATCTGAAGATGCACTTGAGGAATACGACTTCGTCAAGATGAGTCTCGCAGACCTTCAGCAGTATAGCCGACGCACGATGATCCAAACGGGAGGGACGGCGCTAGTGTATAGACAGCCATAGCAGGACCACAGTTAAGCATCATCTTAGAGCTAGTACTTAATATCAATAATTAGAACCCAACAATTCGAGACTGCGGCTGTTCGACAAAAGAACTTTCAGACATCTGAGAGCACTTCCAAGAAGACGACTGAGAAGCTTGATCGAGTTGGAGAAATTACGAGAAGCCCCGATGGTTTAGGGACCTTGAAGCTAGGAGCTTTCTCAGTCATGAAGACTCCACTACCTAATGAAGGGAATGTCTTGTCTCCTCAAGTGACATCAAAAGTACGTATTCGCAAGTATCTGTACCCGTGATTTACTTCTAACAGGTTGTCGATATGTAGAAGCTGAAGTGACTGCCAAGGCTACCGGTTTCAACAACTGCCACGCTAGGAGAATCAAGGGTTCTTCGAGAGATACGCTAATTCTTGTCGGCGGTCCTATTCACACTATTGAACCTAAACTCGCCACTGTCACACTAGCTTCCGCCGTACAGCCGTTCCGAGCAGAAACTCTATCAGGATCCTATCTACTCAACGTGTGACCGTTTACAAGTTTGAGGTAATTATCCGCACTCCAGCATTTTAGTCCCAAAACTTTGCCCTAGTTTCGCTTAAGTCGACTCCTTTAGGCATTGGTCCTTGCTCATGGCTTGCTTGCAAGCGATATTTTTGCTGCCCTTGGCCAATTTGTAGTTACGTGGAGTCGCGAAACAATCTCTGGACTCAAGTTTCCCCTGGCGGTTATGGAAGGAAGCGAGCGAGAGTGGTGTCGACCTCGTCCCAACAGCAACTACCCGTATCTCAATCGCACTACCATGGATCTGGATCCTTCTAAGGTAGGCTGCAGACGGAGCGCTACAGCGACTTTCGAAGATTATCATACGACTTCGTACCTAGTCACAATAGCACAGTTACATGCTTAGAACACGTCAGCCGAGGAATATTCAAATCATTGATACCACTCAGAGGGGAAGAAGGAACCGTTGGAAAGAGACGTTATGCTCGGATTAGGCTTTCAAAGTATGATCATGCCTAGCTAGATCTGATGAGGTCTGACTAACAAATATCAATTGCCAATAGCCTCGACTGAGTAGAGAAACCATGGTGAAACCCCCGGGAATCAGAGGACACTCAGAGAGGGAAGTATTCCATACTTTCCATCTCGAAGCGAATTCGTTTGCATGCTATGACATACACAACTCGCAGCCCCAGAATCTTCCAATTGTGGCGTGGCATGACGGTCCTTGGCCACCCAATTCGGAGCTCAAACAGCGTCCCTGGCATATTGGAATACCAACGAGTGGGACGCCCTGTCGAGTTCCTTGAATCCATCGATGTCTTTTCGAAGTACTCGCATGTGGTACACACGTTGGTGCCTGGCAGACTCCATCAACTACTGCGTATGCGGGCAATAATTCCCAATACTCCGGACACAAATCAGCTCTTTCCAGGCCGGGACCCTTCTCATAGCCCTGTCAACAACATGGACACCATGCGGACTCTCGATTTCTCTTAGTTCTGCGGAAGTCGGTTCATCACTCTGCTCGCCTGTTGGGTCGCATCGTCCCACATCGGTCGAGGCAAGTATCCGTACGGGTAGCTGCGCGCACCATATGTCGTCGATATCTGAGCTTCCACTCGACGACGTTGCCATCGACGCCTCTTTGATGGGCCGTTTTCCCACACTATCCAACGACCGTTGAGAGATCCTAAACCGCCACTATCACTGGTCCAGTCCAATTCGGTTCCTTTGCTCGTATGAACAGGGCCAACGCACTTGGCCCCCATGCTGTCACTTCTCACTCGCCAACAGCCCTGATGGGTCCTCCTATCCGCCCCCTGAAGGTTGGTCATCAAAAACTCTTCTCGCTGCAGGTTCTCCCCGGCTTCACTCGGGGACCGGGGCTCCGCCGGCGTAGCATTCAGAATTCCCAGAGATTCGTTCAAGAGTCCAGACTTCGTACTCTCCCAAACCAGGCTACTCGCTACGTCCCCTCGCTACCGCCTACGAAAGACTCGGGGAGCCGGGGAATTGTTAGCAGGCAGGTACGACGAAGGGCCCTGTCCTTCCCTAGTGATGTGATTTGATAGGATGTCAGGGCATCGGCGTTGAATACACCCGTAATGTGATACATCTGGCTTCGGGGCCGTATCTTGATCCGGCAATCTGGTCAGGAGAGCACCGACTGTCTACGTAGTATACAACTGCGAGGTGCGTTACATACAGTGTAATATGATCTGGCATGCTTGGATACGGAGTACATGTCGGATGTACATGGCGCCGTGCGGTATTGGCTACGCAGGACAGTTGTCCAATGTCAGCCACAGGATGGCATGGTTCTTATGCATGGCTGTGACTTCCTTGTCAAATGTAGACGAGCGGGAATTACAGGGACATGCACACGACAAAAACCTATGCTGCCCTGGTCAAGGCAACCTTGCGAGAACCAGACTGCTGGGCAGATGGTATCGAGAAGGAAAGGACTGAAGGGGGGACGGTAGAGCGGACATGGTGAATGGAAGACATCAAATGAATCCGAGCCAACATTTGGAGGATCGGAGTATTGTCAGCAAGCGCGATTCGATCTGATGTGTAGCTGTCAACTGGCGCCAGTCAGAACTTTGAATGGTGAGGTTGGTTGATAACTGGTTAGATCATCCCGCTAGTCAAACTCAAGACTAGTAAAGCAAGCCAACACCGTAACGTTCCATTTCGAGGCTTTTTCTGGAAGATTGTATGATTCCAGTCCACCATCTGTTATGACACGCTCTCTGACACGCACTCTCTCTGTCAGCCTTGACTTTCGTTCGACGGTCAGAGTCGTCATCTCTTCGCCGTTCGGTAACAGTTTCGGGAAGCAGCAAGAAGCAGGAGATGGGCTCCAGTAATTTAGGTGACACGGAACGCGGCGCTTTACCAAATTTATGGCTGTGTAGCGAAAGGGGAGGCAAATCACCGAAGAATATCCATGTTACGTGCTTGCAGCAGGATGACGAGGGTGCCTGTACGTACTTCGTACTTCGTCGTGTATTCGGCGTGCTGTGCCGCAACCTTGCATGGCTGAGGCAAGGGTCGTTGGTTGCGGGCGAAAGAGAACAGGAAGACGCCCGAAAGAAAAGTCTGATCTGCGACCGATGTTACCATCTTTGGCGCATCTTTTCCTCTGCGTGGGCGATGAATCATGAGAGTAAGGTGCTGATGGAGACGGTGGATATCTGAGGAGGGGCGAAGAAGATAGCAAGAAGAACGAGATGCGGTCCAAGACGAGCTTTTTCCTTAGTCGCCCAATCTGGTGCTTTGGAGTATCTGGATACGGCGAAGCCTTAAAGACCTGATACTGGTCGTGATCTAGAGGCAGCCAATAGGCCGGCTTAGAGTGCGAGGAGGCTTGGTGTGAGAGTACCAGACATTCCTTGTGAGCTCCAAAATGCTTACCATGGTTGCGAGGGATTGAGGTGAGTGAATTATCCTTGAAGCAACCGCCGTGAGTGGTCGTGAGAGGCGCGGCTGCTGCGCTAGATTACCACATCCTTTCCATGTATACTTCGGTGGAGTTACGGCATTGTTTCCCGGGAGCCTCCACTGGACGAGAATGCTTAGCCAGACACAGGCGAGAAGAGGGAAATGGGAAAATCCGTCTTTTGAAAGAGTGGTTCTGGGGGAGGGGGGCCTAGCTTTACAAGGTTGTGGGAGTTGAGCTCCGTAAATAGGGAAAATGGCCAAGAACGCCTGAAAAGGCACAGCGACACGAAATCTCCCACTTTTCTCTTTTGCCTGTGGGTTCCTCGGTAGAATTACGTACGGGCCCAGAGGTGAACTTTTGCAATTCAGCCCTTCTCTCTGTCTACCCCCCACCCCTCCTAACCTGTCCGAGATTAGCGGTCCTGGGGGTTGGCCTGGCATCCCCTGCGTTCAAGCGAGTTACTTTGGCCGCCTCGCTAACCTCCCCCAACTCCCTTTCTGTCTCGATAACTCACCAATGATCGAAATGAGCCGGCGTTCGACCAAGCGATTGGAAACCAAAGAGTTTACGAAAGTAAGTGCCATCGTCAAAGTGTGGTTGAAACTGCCGTTTGCTTGTCGGACCGGGGTGTGGTAGCGGCGACGACTGCGCACCGTTCCGTTGTGGCACAGACATTTGGCAAGCAAACAAAACGGGTTTGTTAAGCCTTTTTCTCCTCCCCCTCGCTCCCTCCCGCGCTCCCGCCCTCTTCCCTAGTGTGCCAGTGCCTGTTGTTTGCCTGTACGAAGTAGGTGTGTGCCGCTGAAGGAACAGCGCCCGTTGGAAGGGAGGGGATGGGAGACCCAGAGACCCAGACTTGCCCGTCGACGGCGTCTCTCCTAGGCTCTTGGTGTGTGTGTGGCACAGTTGGCGCCCGGGGGGGAGGTCTCCGGCGATCCTCCCGCCCCATGGGTGTCTCTGGCTGGACTATCCTTGCTGGTGGCCCCCGACATCAGGCGATTCCCCCAAGCAGGGGTCAAGGGAAGTGGGATTAGAGTTTTCGGTTCAAAAAGAGTACCTCAGTGGGGGTGGTTCGATGAAGGTCGAGGATGGACCGCGGTCTGGTTGCGTGAAATTGGATGACTTTCGGCTCCTCTTGCATCGGATGTGAAGCCCTTTGGGCTGAGGGTGCAGAGCCTGGTGGGAGAGTTCTGAGAGATGTGTTCCGCGCCCAGGCCGGTTACCATACATACAATTACATTATTACTGCATCTCATTGGTGCCGTTGCTCTCTTGCTCGTTTCATTTGCCTGCTTGCCGCACTGCCGCCACTGTTGTTGCATAGAATTCTGACTTATCGTCCATCGTTTTCAGCCGTTGTAAAAAAGAAAAGAGGCCTGGTCAAAGTTATACACGCCCCCTAGCCTCTCTCTCTCCTAGACCAATTATTCGTCCAACGGGCAAGCCACAAGAAAACGCACGCTCCAAGCAAACAAGCTGCCCAGCGGCCCAACAAAGAAAGGAACAGCCCAGTCCAGCACAGAGCACCTCAGCAGCCATGGCAATCTCACAGCAAGGACCCCTCCCCGTCATCATCGTCGGCGCGGGTGTCAGCGGCCTGCTGCTCGCGCAGTATCTCCGCAAGAACAACATCCCCTACCGTATCTACGAGCGCGACACGGACCTCACGACCCGCGGCGTCGGTTGGGGCCTGACGCTGCACTGGTCTCTCCCTGCGCTGCGATCCTTGCTGCCAGACGATCTTGTTGCGCGGCTGCCCGAGGCCTATGTTGACCAGGCTGCCGTCGCTAGGGGTGAGGCATCTGCGTTTCCCTTCTTCGATTTGAGCACTGCCGAGCTGAAAGGTGCCAGCCCACGCGCCCCGGAAAGTCTGAGGATTAGAGTTACGAGGGAGCGGTTGCGCCGTTTGGTGGCTACAGATATCGATATTCAGGTATGTTTGCTCTCCCTTGGAAAACCCACCTGCATTCCTTGGTTGAATACTGGGCACTTGGCAATGCTCCGTCAACAACTCCCGTGCTAAGTAGCAGTCGCAGTGGGGGAAGGGCTTCACGAGATACGAAGAAAATGAAACCGGTGTCGCTGTCTACTTCGAAGACGGCAGCTCGGTGGCCGGTCGCGTGCTCATTGCCTGCGATGGGGGGCCCTCCCGTGTCCGGCGCCAGCTCTTCCCGGAACAACACGAGAGACACCGGATCCCGGTCCGGGTGCTTGGCCTCAAGTTGCAATTGACTCCCGAAGAGATGGAGCCGATCCGGAAGCTCGACCCCTTTTTTCTGCAAGGTGCATCATCTCGGAATGATACCTTTCTCTATCTCAGCAGTAAGTTACTCCCTTTTCTTGGTTTTATGATCAGAGCGTAGGGAGTAGTATCCGATCTTTTCTCTATTCTTCATCTTACGAGAGTGGCTCTTGATACCCGATCAAGACGAAAGCGAGATCTTCTCTCTCTACCGATCCAGGGTTGTCCCTGAGCCGAGAGTGCTACGTTGGGGCGGAGACCCTCACCTCCCCTTCCTCCTCCATCGTCGTCTTCCTATCATTGACTTTCTATCTTGCGCGCACTTGTACGCAGGGCGGAAAAATGAATAAGCCCAAAGAAGATAGAACAAAAGGCTAATTACACACTTTCCCCTAAACTGCAGTGCTTGACGCCCCTGGAAACAACGACGACAGCACAGGCAAGTACAGCTGCCAACTGTGCGTCTCATGGCCGGATCGTCCGGGCTTTCTGGGTAAGCCGGAGCCGGTCGGCTATCCGCAGACGGACGCCGGCAAGGTCGAGCTCATCAGGTCGTTTGCCGAAGGGTGGTCGGAGCCGTTTCGTTCCCTTGCACTCGGCATTCCCGCTGACACTGACGTGAAACACCTCGACCTCTACGACTTCCCTCCACCAAAGGGGTTAAGGTCCAAGGGGAGGGTTGTGTTGATGGGTGATGCCTTTCATGCGATGGCGATGTGTAAGTTGACCAGTACCCGTGCCTTCTTTTGGTTGACAAATCTCCTCGTTTGCCCATTTTCTCCGAGACGTTTCGTTCGGCATTGAACTCTGGGTTTCTTGGCCTCTCTATCTACCATACCCTTGAGGGTGGTTCGTCTCAAATAGACAAGGACGTATGGCTGACGGCACGCACAGACAGAGGCGAGGGTGCCAACCACGCCATTCTCGACGTTCTCGACTTCGCAGAGACCGTTGGGTCCAAGTTGAGCGGCAACAACAACAACCTCGCGGACCTTCGAGCCGTTCTGAACATTTACGAAGATGCCGTGGTCTCCAGAGCCCGACCCGGCGTGTTGGCGTCGCGGCGGGCCTGCATGGATGCGCACGACTGGCCCAAGATTAGCCCTATGAGTCCGCTCCTCAGCAAGCGGGAGATGAAGCTTCAGTTTGATGAAGAGTAAATGGACTATGGAACTTGCGGATAGCCCACCTGTAGCTTTAATAATCTGTCTAGTCTAATTGATTCAATCATGATATAAACACAGACAAGAAAGATCGCGTACACCGTGTTCTCGGGAATGGGGATCAGCATCGTGTTGTGGGATGTACGGGGTGATGGGGTGATTTCTTGACACGTAACCGTCCGCCCACCACCTACCAACCACCCCGGTCTGTTGTGCTCCCTCCACCGCGGTGGAGAGAGATCAGCAAGATGAGAGCCCTGTGCTGTGCCTGTGCTGTGCCTTGCCCGTGCTGTGGTGATTACCAGGTTTCCCCCCATCTTGTTCCCGCCGGCTTGCGATCGAGGGTATCATTCTCTGCAGAAGCGAACGAGTGATGATGCGATGCGGTGCGCTTCCGTTAGGTCCTCAACCGGATTCCGAAAAAAGAAGTCCTCAAGAGGAAGTGATCGCTGCTAATGAACAAAACATCTCAAGCTTCGTGTGTCCAGCGCCTCCGACGCCTTACAATCGATCCAACGAATACGATGCTTTTCTTCCCAAAAAAATAAGTCCCTTTTACACATTATCATCTTACATTCTCGCCATTTGAATGATTTTTATGCTTTTGAAATTGTGCTGATGCGTAATGCCCCCCCTCTTACACATCTGAATCTCGCGAATCCCTCCGTCGCGTGCCGCCGTTTATCCCACCATGCATGCCTGATTTGCTGTCCACCCTGTCGTCGACCTGGACGCTGTACGTCACCGACTTCATAATGTTGCCGGGCAGAATGTTCTCCTCGCTGCCGTTGTCGCCCTTGCTGTGGTTTGCCGAGGCGAAGACGGACTTGTCGTGGTTCATCTCGCTGAGCTTGTACCGCTCCCCGCCTTTCAGGTGGCTTCGTCCGTGCGACGAGCCTCCAGAGTATTTTGAGCGATAGTTCTTGGCCTTCTTCATGCATACGGGTGCCAGGAATGGAAGTGAAGACACGATATTCTGCCCATATTCATTAGCCATTTTGGTTCACCGGAAGACACGGGAAACGGGAAGCGCTCGCGGCCGCTTCTCCGGGAGAAAACTTACGCCAACGTTAAATTCAATGGTGCCCCACAGGACCAGCATCGTTGAGTTGCCGTCGCCGTATTGAATGCGGTTGATCTCGAGGTATCGCAGGATAGAGCAGAGCGTCGTGAACAAGCCGAGCAGGAAAATTGCAATGAGACCAGCCTTCTTCTCCACTCGAACGTTAAGCTTCAACAGCACCGGGATGGGTAGTACTGCCACAACGACGTCGGAGACAATGGTGACAACGGCGTATGCGGTGAAGGACGGGCCCGCGGGCAGACAAGTGCCAGCCTTGAGAGGGTTCCATGACTTGTCGACGGGCGTGCAGGCAAAGATTAGTGAGAACGAGCACCCCAAATGTGCGATGAAAACCAAGATGATTGTCAACCAGACGATGCGGCGGTAGTTCTTCTGGTCGGTGCCCTTGAGGAGGCGGAGATAACTGATCAACAGGGCAATTTTGAAAAAGCTGATGCCCAGTTGATAAAATGGGCGACCTGCAAAGTTGATACGCGTGTATAAAACCAGATTGTCCTTTGGTCTAAGCTTGATGGGCAAACCGAGGCCATATCTTGTTTCTGATACAACGTATTAGAATCATTGGTGGGAAACAAATTCAAACTTTTGACGTGATACTTACGTGCAATGGTAAGGCCGGAATAGATGAGAGCAAATACTTCGGATAAAACCGACATCCAGTCATCGGCAGCCAGACCACGTGCAGAAAATCGTATCCAGATTCGAGACCCCACGACGATGACTGAAAGTACCGAGAGGACGATGACGACGGCGATGATGGTCGGCCATTGCGATATGGCCTCGACCTCGGGCGTTGCGTTGAGAACCCAGCCCATGGCGGCGATTTATGAAATAAAACCGTTGGTGCAGCGGCTGCGTGGCGCTGAGTCGTAAATCCAAGACAAGTCCAACAAAACTTCCCGATGAAGAACGCCGAGGTCTTTCGTGACTCGTCTAGCGTTGCCGCGATGTGGTGTGTAACTGTGGCTTGCAACCAACACGATTTGACGTCCAACGAAGTTTCCGAGTTCCAACAAGAAAACCAAGACCAAATAAACGCGGGACCAACGGCGTAGTATAAAACCGGGCTCGAATGGGGGATAGGAATAAAAAGGCCAACGGAGGTTAAGGGGACTTGGACTCAGGGGAGAAGCGAGGGATGGGGAGGAGGGGGGAGGCGACCAGCCGACTGGTAAAATAAGATCCCAGCCTGCAGGTCGAAAGCAAGGGACACTTTATGAATTTGGTGGAGAGTAGCAATACACAAACAGCATCCGCGAACGTTGAACGGCCCAGAAACTAGGGGGGCGGTTGGCCACTTTAATCTTTATTACGTCGTGTGGTGCGGTGCGGTCTTCTACCGCCCGCTCGCGCGTGGGATGTGTGCGTGGCGTTGAACACTATGTGTGTGATGAGTGGTGCAGCATGGCCCCTTCACCTTGCCTTTTGCTAGCTGGGAACATCACATTATCCACAAGGAACAAGAAAATATGAGCCAGTCGCTTTGCGTATGCGTGCTCCGAGCTTCTGGGAACTTTGGAAAGTAGAAAAGAAACGAACAAGCTATGGGGTACGGATACCTGCTCTATCCTTACGAGGAGTCGAGAGAGTGTCCCCGCCTGGTCTTGCTGCTTCGACACCCTGAAAAGCTCGCAGGTCACGACATTTGGGGCAGGTCAAGAAAGCTCACAAGTGACAAGGCAGAAGGGGGAATCTGGGATGCCTTGTCTGGCAAAGGCAATCGCTCCTCAAATTGTCTCAACCACCGCAAGGATTGGGCCAGTCTGGATGGAATCCGTGCAATGTGATAGGGTTTTGGGACCTGGTGCTGGCATGGCCTTGTTAATGTCTCGATGCTCGGCCACTGGCCCAATGACCAGGCTCCGCCAGGGACCTTCATCCATCGGGCATGGGGCGACGGCCGGGAAAAAAGTTGCCATGGGAAGGGAGATACAGTGATGCCACGCCATACGCAGTAATGAGGGGTGGACTGTCTTCGGGTTATTCGTAAATCGAATGTGACGCTGGGCAACATGAAATGTGAGAAGCTTCCAAAGAAGAGGAAGGTAGGTCACGGAAGCGCGGGAAAGACAAAGTGTTTGGGGGATCACCGCAAGAGGCTCCGCAGCGAGTGCATCGCTGCATCGTTCCCTTTTCTTGCGATTTGATGCATCATCTTCTTTCTGGGTTTCTGGCTGCTACACGCTTAAAGCTTTGCCAAGCCTCCCAAGTCTGGTTTCCGAATTACATTATTTCTTCTTCCTGGGGCCGGGACTGGGCTGGCTTCGGTCGTTCTCCATCATGCCGTCCGGAGTACCATCCGAAGAGGAGGGGGGTGTGGCTGGCGTGGTACTCCAAAATGCGTGTGGTTACTTCGGGACAGAAAAACTTCCACGGAACAAAATTGCTCTTCGGGAGAATACTTTCAGAAGTTACCAAATGCGACCACGGAAAGACAGCGGCTGGCTTGGGTTAGCAACGCCAACCGTGGTACCATGGTGCAACAGCCTACGACGGCCAACGCGCCGGGGTTCTTGGAGGGGAGAAGTGAGAGAGGTTAGGCCAAAAACAGAAGATGCGACGGCAAAGGGACGCGGGCGGTGCTAAGCGGCATTGCGTCTGCTGCAAGTCGTTGGCAACTTGCAAGGTCTGAACGGACCACGGACGGTAACTGTCAAACTTCCACCGTTCGTGGCCCTGGCTTTTTCTGCTCTGTTGACTATTGTGTTGGCGCCGAGGCGAAGGTTGACAGTTGAAAGTTTCTCTTCCCGAAAGTCTACTACTGTGTTGTGTGTGTAAATGCGGAACTTCCTACGCAATTGAGTCTTTTTTGGTGTGTCTGGAACCCCAGCAAAGCAGGCGACAAAGATTAACATCGTTCGATGGCAGAAGCCAGATTGACACTTTGACAAGTCCAGTAGAAGTCGGCTAGACCGTCCCGTCTTGTCGCCTTGTCATTATTAAAAACTGCCCCCATTTCTGCCCGTCTTCTCGCAACGCCCCCGCTCGCAGGAGAACTTTTTCCCCTTTTCTGCCCTCTCATTTGCAGAGAGCTCAGAGCCTCACTGCCTCAATACCGCTTGACCTCTCAAAATTCCCAGTTATCTGCGTTGGCCCGCCACATCACGACAATGTCTTCTGGGTTGATGACTCGGATGTACGATAAGAATCAGCAGGCCGCAGATGAGCGGATGGGGATAACTTGAGAAGCAGTTTAATAGAGAGGGGAGGAGGGGCCCTTATTTACGGTCGCCATCAAGCCTGGATCCCCGCGCAAAACCACTCTGAAGAGCGGGCCGACGAAAACCAAGAGCTTTAGAAGTCCCAGAATCGTCGCAAAAGTCGCAAAACGGAATGGTATTGGCATACAGATCATAGGCTAAGAGGTGATGCGGCCGGATATGAATGGGACAGGGCCTCTTCAATGGGCCTTTTCTAATGGGGTGAACAAGCCGTAGGAGGCCGGGTTCTGGCTTCACCTGGATCCAGTCCTGGGCTGAGAGGTACGGATATGCCACCACTTCCACTTGTCTATGGAGCACTTCGTACTTTGGCAGAGGAGGAGCCTGGAGGAGTAACTCGTCAAGATCCATCGCTCGCCAGACCGGATATCCCTCGTTCTCGAACTGGAGGTCCAGGTTGCATGCATCGGCCACCGGGGATCGGGCCCCAGTCTTCTTTCTCGTGAGTTAGGGGTCCCCCCGGTCCCCTGCTCCGACTACGCAAACCTTGCATGCTGCAGGCGGGGATCGGGGAGCTGCGCCGTACGGTACGCTAAGCTGTTGGTGTGGTCGATTTTTGGGAGGGAAAAGTGATAATACTTGCGTCGACATGGGGTGATATGTACTTAGGTGAGACCTGCAGCACGCAGGTAGCACGTTGCTCGTCTTGTCTAGCCCTCCTCCTTTCCTGCAGCTGCTCCTCATCATCCAAGTTCCAACAAGATATTCTTGTTCAAGTATTGTAACTTGTGGACTGCGTGGTGGTGGTTCTGATACCATTCTTGTACACATCTCCTGGCGGGGTCCCTTTTACTGGACGAACTACTAATCAGTCGAATCGACTATTGTCACTCCTTGCTTTTCCTCCTTTTCATTGCGACTTTCCCCTCCTCTTCATCCCGTTTTATTTCTTTTACCTTTTTCTTTTCCATCTGACGCCTGCGCGGATATCAGATCAGAAATCTCGACTACCACCCCCCAATCCAACCTTCTTTAGCCTTCAGTCCCGCAGCGGAAGCCTGTGCGCGCCTCGTCGTCGATCACCAGACAACGGACCAACTTTGCTTTTGGCATCTCCTTCCCGCTACTGAGTGCTAAGGTAGTAATCGAGAACGGGTCACATTTCTTCCCGTTGTTTTGCTTATTCTCTCATCCTACCGTCTTACACCTACCGGCGTCTAAAGCAAGACAAGACATATATATAAAGCAAACATGTCCGTCGACGAGAAGAACCCTCAGGACTTTGTGAGCTCGGCCGCCTCGTCCGACTCCCACGCTGACACGGGCAACATCGACGCCGCGTGGAAGTTCCTCAATGACCATCGCGATGCCGGCACCGACACGAGCTCCGTGGACATGAACGCGCTCAGACGCAAGATCGACTGGCGCCTCGTTCCCCTCATGTTCCTCTGCTATACCATGCAGTTTCTTGACAAGGTCATTCTCAACGTGAGTACCTTCCACGTGGTCTTCGAAGATCTCTTCTCCCACTACAACCTCTCTATCATCCAGCTCATGTCTGAGCGGCCTGCTTGCTTTTGCGACCCGGACTTGTCTCTCACAGAGTCACCACGCGACCCAATGCTAATGTGATATCTGACAATTAGTACGCCGCCGTCATGGGCTTGAGCAAGGACCTAAAGCTCGTCGGCAACGAGTTCTCCAACATTGCCACTTTCCTCTTTGTCGGTCTTCTCTGCTTTGAGATCCCCAACAGTAAGCCTTACCCCATCTCATTCCCCATACCACCGGAAGAAAAGCAAGAAAAGAGAGACACGAACGACGTAGAGACTCTGGAGAAGCTCGAAGGTGATAGAGAAAGTCGAACGTTGAAGAGACACGAACCATCAAAACTCGGACCATGAGCACAGTCTGCAAAAGGAAAGCGCAAGACATTGAGACTAACATAATATCCTCCCACAGTCTACTTCCTCCAAATGGTCCCCGCGGCCAAGTGGTTGGGCCTCAATGTCGTCCTCTGGGGCACCGCAACCGCCTGCGGTGCCGCCGCCCACAACTACCAGTCCCTCCTCGTCTCCCGCATCTTCCTGGGTATCTTCGAGGCCACCATCGGCCCCTCCCTGATGCTCATCAGCGCCCAGTGGTACACCAAGTCCGAGCAGGCCCCACGCTTCTCCTTCTGGTACCTCGGTCTCGGCCTCGGCCAGATCCTCGGCGGCGCCGTCTCCTACGGCTTCCAGCACATCGCTCCCGGCGCGGGTCTCGCCGGCTGGCGCATCATGTTCGTCGTCCTCGGCTGCCTGACCGTCACCATTGGCATCTGCACCGTCCTCTTCGTGCCGGACACGCCCATGCAGGCCCGCTGGCTGAGTGACACGGAAAAGGTTGCTCTGCTGAAGCACGTCAGCGTCAACCAGACGGGCATCGAGAGCCGCAAGTTCCGCCCCAAGCAGATCCTCGAGGCTCTCATGGACCCCCAGATGTACCTCATGGTCGTCGCCGTTGTTCTCGTGCGTACCATCCCGTGTAATTTTCAAATATGTGTAGTTTGAGTTTCGCTGACCCTTTCCACAGCTGTCCGTTTCTAGCGGTGTTGTCACCACCTACTCTGCGACCCTCATCCGCAACCTCGGCTATGACTCCAAGCACGCCGCTCTGATGAACATGCCCTCCGGTGTTGTGAGCATCTTCTTCACTCTCCTCGTCGGCTACGGAATTCGTCACACGTCCAACCGGTGGGCCTGGATCGTCGCCTGCATCATCCCAGCGTGAGTCAACAGTGAATCTAGCGTCCGAAGAAAAAGCAAAATACTAACCCTGCTCAGCATCATCGGTGGCGCTCTCATGTCTTTCCTTCCCGTTAGCAACCGCTCCGGTTGCTTGGCCGGCATCTACCTCGTCAACGCCGTGGTTGCTCCCTTGACCGTCTTCTACGCCGTAAGTACACCTCTGAGTCCCGAGGCATCCGAGTCTTGAAAGACGTAAGACCATGTAGCCTGTGGACATCACGACTGACATGTTATGCAGTGGACTGCTGCCAACTTTGGAGGTGCCACCAAGCGTGCCTTCGCCGCCGCCATCGTCTCCGGCTCCTTCTCGCTTGGCAATATCATCGGACCCCAGACCTTCCAGGCCAAGGACGCGCCCGAGTACCGCCCGGCCAAGATCGCCGTCATGGGTACCCAGGCCGGCTGCGCTCTCGTCACCCTGGCGCTGTACGCCTACTACCGCTACGAGAACAAGCGCCGCGGCGCCATCAAGCAGTCCGAGGACGCTTACATGGCCCCCGAGAACTGGCAGTCGATGACCGACAAGGAGAACAAGTCGTTCCGCTACACCTACTAAGGCATATGTGCTGAAAGCGGATTGGTATGCACAGAGCGCAAAAAGTTCCGAGTTCTTGTTGAAGAAAGAAAATATACTTATAGATGTATATAGCATTTGGGCAAAAGGGGGGAGGCTTATTGTACATTACTAGATCTTGGTACTGACCAATGAGACCACGTACCTACCGACGACTACACGTTGCGCCGTCCGTGGGACTCTTTCTTGGTTTCAGACGAGATGGGTCTTACGCGCCGATAGCAAACGACATAGCTTTTCAGCTTACATGCCCGTTACAGTTTCAGGCTACATTTATCTCGCCAACGGACGCTTCAGACTGGCTCTACGTCCGATGCTTTGCCTGCCGAGGTGGACGGGCAGAGGCAAGGTATGAGAATAGAAAGAAAAAAAGATGTTTGGTCATCCATCCCTTACTCCCGTTGCGCGTCATGGCGTTCATTAGTCTGTTTATGGTTGATATGTAAGGCTGACTGGACGGCATACGGCGCCACGGTTCACCAAGTCCGGTCATGTTACCATCCGGCCGGCACTGGGAGGATGTTGGCGCTGCGGCTGTCTTTAATTTAAGCTTCATCTGACCGCCCTGTGTCAAGTCTGTCGTGCGGGTCGCTCGGGAACCTTCCACCCACTTACCGACGAAGCAAAAAGGGAAAAGAGGGAAAAAAGGGTGACAAAGGAGAAAACCCAAAAACCCCATCGGAGGTCGGTGCTCACGGCCAACTCTAACGAACCAAGCCAAGCCCAAGGCCTCTACGGCAAAAGCCCTAAAGACTTGGGCCTAAAGACGCATGGGTTACCAGAAGAGGTTAGCACTTCCGCTATGCTTTTTGACAATGGGATAAGAAGATGGGTAGACACTGGGCTGATAGTTCTTCCAGGTTCACTTGCACAGTTCAGGTGTAGTGGTATTCGCCTAGTCTGCTTGGTCAGATTGCGACCCCAACCTCTAGAGTCTACTATGACATTTAGCCTATGACAGCTAGCTTAATGAAGAGCTTACTCGCGTGGCAAGGCACCGGCACTGAATCCCGTCGGATTTATGTCGAGGAGCCCGCGCGCGAAAGCCTCAACCTCTGAGCTATCTTATGCCAAGGTCTTGACAAGCTCCTTGAATTCCGCTTCGGTCATCCTCTGGACCCCGAGCAATTCGTTGGTGGCATTTGTGTCGAAAGTGAGCTGGAGCTCAGGGTCATAGACGAATCGCAAGACGATATCTTCGATGACGGACGCGTCAAAAACCCCAGAGAGGAGCTTCTGCACGCCCCGCTCGTAGCGCTCCTTCGTGCTGACTTTGATGACTTCAATGTCTATATCGGGCAGAGCTTCCTTGACTAGCTCCATGATCCGGTTCTGCGTCAGGTTGATCACCTCGATCGTCAAGATCTGGTTCCTGGTCGCGTCGGGTCGTTTGAGCACGCCCACAACCGCGTCGCCAAACGCCTTGCGCGTGCTCAGCCCAAATCGAACGTTGCCATCCTCATGGATGTAGAATTTTTGTTTGGGGAGGCACATGCCGGTGTCGCAAGTCATGATCCATTCGATCCAGGGCCCGCCGAGGATGCTTGTATACTCGATTTGCCCTATCTCGGCTGCCTTCTGGAGCGCCTCATCGACTCGAATCTTGGAAGCTGAGAGGGGTACAGATCCCGCACTCGGATTCCGATGGTCGGAGCCGAACTCCGAGGGAATGAAGCGCTTTACCTTGGCGGCGATGGCAGCCTCAAGGATGCGCAAGAGGAGGGCTTCGAGGTGGCCTGGGACGACGCAGACGACAGCATCAAACCCGCGGAAAGCAACGGTCAAGTCGTCCAATGATTCATAGTCAGCTGCGACAGTCTTTATTCCCGGGGGAAAAGTCTTGGCGTTGGAACCCCGGGTGATGACGACAAGGTTAAAGATGCCGGCGGCAGCGAGTTGGTCGACTATGACATGCCCGAGGTCGCCGGTGCCCTAAGGTCGGGTAGTAAGTATGGGATGGGTGGTACGGTGGTCAGTGCAGTGCAGTTTGATCGGGCTGCCTATGTTAGGCTTTGTTAGGGGTACAGGTACGGAGTAACCGTAAGCGTTTAGTAATGTAAGGATAGTGTATCCGTAGTGTAGGGGCAAAGGGAAATCGAGGGATCCACGATTCGTGGCTCATGCAATCTGTAAAGAGTAGGTTGAGTGTGGCTTACTCCAATAACGGCAATATTCTTCAGGGTAGCCGTAGTCATGGTTTATTTTTGTCGACTTGATAGGTTGTCTCAGGTTGTAAAGTTTTCTACAGAACAAGGGGGCTTGATTGATAAAGCGTGTCTGAAGTATCCGTAGGCTAAAGACTTTGAGTGGTAGAATGCCGATGATTATGTCTCTCTAGTGATGTGAGGGCATCTGCAACTCTTCTGTATAGGGCGATCCCCCATTCATATTATACAGAAAGGCCATGAGAATCTGCCTATAGCCATCATTATTCATCAAGTCCGGGCCCTCCGCTGTTGCTTACCGTTATCCTACCGGTGTACCGGCGGACGCACACATAGGCTCGGCGCCCGGTGGCCCCGCTCCGGCGGTAGAGGCCCCATTTATCTCGGTATCCCACCGGCTGAGTAATGGGGCCTAAAGATGGGCCAGACGGACGCCCAACCAATCGTTGGCGAGCATAGGCGCATCCAACTGCCGAGGAAGGTTTAGCCTTGACTCCCCCCCTTCCACCGTCCACCTCAGTCATCTCCCTCCTAGGTAGTCCTAGTCCCCGGCCTCCTGGCAAGCATAGTCGTCTCGTCCAAGAGCTAAGCGTACGGCGGAATCAAGCGAAGTCCACGTCCGAACACCCAACATAACGCCCACACACTCTCCACGCACGCGGCACACACACACACACACACACACACAAGACCTGGACCTGGACCTGGACCAGACTACCTAAGCCTTTAGCCCTCTTTAACCTATCCTATCCTATCTCTGCTCTGCTTGCTCCGGGTGGCTTTCCGACCCCCTTCTCAAGCAACCTCTTTTAGATCTAGTTAACCCGCCGGCAACTACTTCCAGGGCAATGGATCTATCCCTTCCTTGCGTTGGAGGTCCCCAGAATGCCCTTCACCTGCGACCATGAAGGCTGCGGCCGCTCCTATCTTCGTAAGGAACACCTCACACGCCACAAAAAAGAGCACTCTGCAACGCCTTCATTTTCCTGTCCATCATGCGGTACCAAGTTTACAAGAGGGTATGTATGACTATGGGTGGTTGACAAACAACCCATCCCCTCCCTAGTACGTGGTGTCTCTGACACTATTTGTCTTGTCACCTGTCGCGTCCATCGGGTTGCATTCCCGAGACGCTTTTCGTGGACTGACTATCGTTTGTCGATGTCGATCGGATTCTGGATCCCGCGCGAAAATGAATAAGTAACCGCGGGGAATTTTCTAACAAAATTGTAGAGATACCCTCCGTAGACATATGGTACTACATGGCCCTTCAGCCCCGCCAACCCGCGTAGCACAAGCCTGCGTTCCATGCCACCGGACAAAGACCAGATGCGATGGTCAGCAACCCACCTGCTCAACATGCAATGACAAGGGGAAATCGTGCGAATGGCCCCAGCCTCGCGGCGGCAGCAAGTCGCTGACGGACCGGTCTTCCTCCTCGCCGTCCAGCTCCTCCGGCCTACCGACCTCGGGCTGCACGCCGCCCGCGAACTCCATGGTCTTGCCCGACCACGGCGGCCACCCGATGACAGCGCCGAGCATGCAGCATCAGCATCAGCATCAGCATCCGCAGCGTCCGCCCACCGGCATGACTACTACCTCGCATGCGATGATGTCGGCTGGGCCCATGCCGATGACGACGATGTCCGACACCCTCGACTTCACCACCCCGGGATCCATCCTGGACGAGGCCATGAGGCTCCAGCTGCAGAGTATTTACTTTACTAAGTTCCATCCCCAGTGGCCGCTGCTGCACCGGGAGACGTTCGAGACGACGGCACAACCCAAGTTGTTGATGCAGGCCGTCATGACGGTTGGGCTATGGTTCGCTTCGTGGCCTGATGCCAGGAATCTAGCTATCAAGTTCCACGATAGCCTCCTGGTAGAAACAGGAAACAAGCTTGTAAGTTGGTATTGTTATCTGTTGTTTACCAGACTATGTGATATCCTCTGGTCTTCTGCTTGCATACTTACGCTTGGACGGGGGTCCTTGCCAGATACACGGACGTTTGTCGTTGTGTCTGGCAACCTATTCGTAAATAAGTGTCTTGTGCTAATCGTCGTTACAGCTTGATCTACTGGAGCAGTCAAGACAAGGCATGCTCTCGCCACGGATGGATTTGCTCCCAATTTTCCAAGCCATGCTGATCTCGACAATACTCGTGCCGTATCGAGCGGACCAGTCCATGGACAACGTGATGATGACACACGCCATGTTACTCGAGACGTTCAAAGCTACGGGAGTATACGATCAGTCAAAGATCAACCTAGGGTCGCAGCTCTGTGGGCATAGTGGATACCCCTGGATCTTTAAAGAATTATATCAACGGTAAGCCAATGCTCCTTCTCTTGATATATCACTACGCCAAGAAAGACGGGGACAGAAGGATAGAAACAACTGTATCCTCTTCAACTTGTTTTTCCTAGCAACTAGAAGAATCAGTCTATTCCCGATGGCATAGTTTTTCTCAACCTCAGTAATACACGAGTCATGGCTAACTCTATTCACGTACAGTCTCGCTGTCTTCCAGTTCAAGCTACATCTAATCCTCCAAACAATATTCATTACAATACATCCGGCGTTACGCCTATCCCGCAACGCAGAGCCGGGCATGCTCAGGGTAAAAATACCGCTGCCGTTGATGATGTGGGATGGGCCCGCGGCGCACTGGTACGGCATGGTGCCGACAGATCCCGCGCTGCTCGACGCGAATACCGGCGACGAAGAGGTGCTGATGATTAGCAAAATGTGCGAAAAGGCGAGCCTCACGATGGACAACAAGGCACTCGTCCCGCTGCTCTCCTGGGACCGGTGTTTGGGTATGGCAATTTGGTGCTGGTGTTTACGAGGGTCTGAGAGCGACAAGGAGTTTATAGAGAACGTGAAGCCGTTTGTTCTCGATCCGTTGAAGGATACGAATGTTTTTCCAGGTTCCGGCTAGGATGGGATGGCATTCAATGCGAAATAAACAAGACGAAAAAGGATACTGGAAAAATTGGTACACTGGTAGCGTTCGATTTGCTATGACGTAAAGCTTCTTTTCAACTCGACTATACTAACTCGTACGCAATTTCATACAGACCATACTATGCAGCGCCTCGACAAACATCACGAACCTACCGGCTATACCACAACCCAGAGCCTGGCTCACCACGGCCTCCGACCACAATGCTGCTCTATTTTTCTCACTTTCTCTCTCCCTTTCCGTCGGCGCAATTTTGCTGCGGCGGCGCCCACTCGGCATCCCACTGGGCCAACACTGATCATCAAGGGGGTTTCGGGCCTAGTGTGCCGGTGGGATGAGGCGGGATAATTTTCCCCCTCTGGACCTAGTGGGGTGGGGTGGCGCGGTGACCGCATGCTTCCAAGGCTTTATGCACAACAGAAGCCCAAGGTGGACGGCCTGGGTGGACTTGCCCCTGGCCCAGGTGGGATAGAGAATTCATAGTCAAATTAGACGTCTGCCGCCATCACTTGCCGCATTGAAATGGCACTGGCAGATCGGTCACCGCGCCTCAAGGGAGTATACAGTTGCAAGCGAAAGTCTCCGACACAGTCGATGAATAATTTGCGATAACGAAAGTAATACTCTCGAAATTTTCCTCGGCTCGAGACGACCATAAGCAGATCTCCGAGCCTCGATTTTACAGAACCGATGACGAACTGTACCGCGGCTAATACCCACATACCGTACCTAGTAGACCATGACGGACTTTATTCAATGGACTCGAGTGCTCCAGCTCGTCAACCTACTAGGCGTCACTCATCTCGCCGGTACCGTGATAATTATCTGATCAAAACCCCATCGAATTCCGGAACCGTGGGAGGCTAAGGTCATCTATAGGCTACCAATTCGGGACAGACAAAATTGCCATGCACAGCATCCTCAAACTCAATGACAAGGACACCCTCGTAAAGCTCTGGTTCCGAGGCTGGGACTTTGGCCGAGTGTACGGCCCCGCAATGGTTGTCGGCACGGCCGCCGTTTTTGGCTTCCTGGCATGGAACGGTGCGCGCCCACTTTCCTTACATTCGCCTCCCGTCCACCTCCTAATCTGGATTCTACCCTGCCCTTTCTACTACAGCTCCCGCAACTTTAAACAGACGAACAGACCTCTCCCATTATTAAAAAGAGAAAACAACATAACGGCTAACGAGAAATACCAGACGGCATCGCAAGTCCCGCGTTCCCCTTCAACCTCGCCGCCGGACTCCTCATGGGGGCCGTGGGCCCATACACGCAGTTCAGGATCTTCCCCGTCAACGACAAGCTTTTGGAGGAGCATCGAATTGTTATCAAGGCGGAGAAGACGGACGAGCGATCAGAGGGGGCGAGTCTCGACATTCATCGACAACTCCTCGCCTATCTTGCTGCCGGGGCTGGCTTGATTGCTGTTCTCAGGTCTTGAGGGTGCTGTTGAACATATTGACGACTGCAGACATAGTACGACCATGGAAAGAGTTGAGACGATGTTGTACGGTTTTGAATTACGACGGACGAAGTCTTCCGAATACGAACAGATACGATTAGTACGAACGGATACGGAAATGCACCATTCATTCAGCACGAAAGCCCCCCGATCCTGTTCATTTGGAAAGAATAGTTGAACAAAGAAGTGATCTGGTACACAACGATATGTTCAAACTTCGGAAATAGATTGATTCAAATTCGTGGTCACAAACTTCTGGTACTGCCAACTTCCTCGAATCCCTCATACGCCGATGAAGGTCTGAATTCGAAGAACCCTCGGTTGACCTTCGAGGTTCAGCGAAAGCGATGCGAAATACCGACGAGTCTCATATGCCCAATTCGCAGACAATGATTCAAGAAATCATAGATTGGTGTTGACTGTCGCGCGTTTCCATTCTGTGAAGCCGTCCACATGAGTAGCCTCGACCTCAACATGGAGTTGCTCTTTTTGCTTGCGATGCAATAAGTGATTGGTGGGAAGTAACTTCCTATCTGGTCCTGGTATCCACATATTCAGACCAATCGACGCTTACAAGGCGAAACTCGGCTCTACAATCTGTGGGAATAAGGGCATTCTCCTTGAACACTTGCTTCCTGGAGTGATCATTCTCATGGGCGTTGCGTGGTAAGCTCCCGATCAACTACACTTTCTATGTTCAGAAATCGAAGTTATCTGTGAAGGCTTTTCAGTAAACAATCTGCCGTTTTGATACCAGCTTCAGTCAGGGTGTCAAGTGTCACGGAAAACCAGTCGAGTCAAATCGTCAGCTTCGCGTCATCGAGGCTCCGAGTAATAGTCTCGAACCGCATCTTTATCCAGAAACTAGTCATTGAAGAGGAAATGGAGGTGTTCGATTTTGTCACATGTTGATACTCTTCAGGTTTACCAATCAATAGCAATATACTCGATTCCACGAGCGCTACCTAGGAGGTACTATCATTTGTCGTCTCCAGCGGCCCGACACCTCCCACGTTCTATTCCATAACCTGCCCGTTCGACATCGGCTACGCATCCGACCGTATCGCCTGCCATTGCAGTTCGCACTGAGTTCAGGATACGCCCTCGATCAAAAAGATATAGCACGTCTCGTTTGAGGATCAGCGGGAGAACTAGGGAAGATAACAAGCAAGTAAAGCTCGAAAGTCCGCCATAGAGCGATGGACCCTGGAGAATCCGTGCGTATTACCACGGCGCCTATTTGGTCAACAATTCTCTCGACAACAGCGATACTTAGTATTCCCTCGATTCTGCAGGCCAGTATGTGCGAACAAACCGCTCGGGCACAATGGATGGCAATGGCTCTCTTGGTGGCGGTGAATTACCAGCTACCTCCGTACCGGACGACATGCCATTCTGTACTTGTAATAAACAGGCCATACCAACATATCGAGCTACAAAGAAGAAGCGGCCTAACTGCCATTGCCGATCGAGAGGACAGCACGATTCATTCAATATGAGCACAACGGCAAGAGACCCGGACCGTGTCATCCTACCCAAGCAAGTGTCTCCTAGTATTGTGTGCTCTTCGAGCTCTCAACTTCCTGAGGAAAAATATTCGCATTGGTCCTAGCTTGTAGGCCCGTAGTCAACCAAGTTCCAAAGCCCTCCAAAAAGGTCCAAAAAATATATCTTCAACCATATAGTGGAATCTAACCACTGAATCTCCCCGAGGTGGGCTCGAACCACCAACCTCCAGATTAACAGTCTGACGCGCTAGCCAATTGTGCCATCGGGGATGTTGAGATGTTGTGTCTCCGTAAGATGACGGGCTGCGCGATTTTTTGGGAATATGGAGCTCGCATCGTAGTGTGGACCGATTTGGTGTGGAGAAGCGCCAAAGCGAGATGTGATGGAGCGGAACGAGTCAGTATGAGAATGGACTATAGAGAGGTGAAGACGCAGACGACCTACCAAGTATCGCCAAAGCTGAGCAAGTAGTATTGTGAAGATTTTGATGTCAGAGGATGGTGGAGAGGAAGGAAGCAAGTCGAGAGTTTGTAGAGGATTAGACGCGTTGGGTGGCGATAGGGATTAAAGCGAGGGCCTCGAGTATTCGGGACCAGTGGATATTGACCCATCGAGAAGTGGCATAGTTGTCGCAGAATTTTTGCCGGATGTCCAGCTGTCGGCTTGTGCCTCCTGAGAGTTGTAATCACCATTTTGTCGGGGAAAGTTGAGCCAGGAGTAGCTTTCGGTGAAGGATTGTGGCCTTCGGTGTGCATTTCTCATCAGGCAAGCCGATCCCCTTCACCTGACTTCACCTGGTGGGGCTCTCGGTGAAGGATATGGGGTAGAATATAAGCTTCGATACGTACCGACTCACGTGCCATAGCTCCCTAGCGCGCATCAATTTTCGACCCCTGCACTTGGGCAGTCGCGTCTCACCCTCATTTCACCAACGCCGTCACTTTCTCAGCTGTTTGTCTTTCAACAAGGGCAGCAACTTATCTCACCCGCTGACGAGGGAACTTCATCGACCAACATGCCAGACTCATCCGACGAATCGGGTCCTGATGGCGTTGGCCTCATGCAAAATGATGCATCCGACCGGGAGTCCTCAGGCAGCGAATCCGGAACAGAAGCCGGCGACGACCCCGGCCAGGGCTTTTTCGACGTCGAAGCTTCAGAAGAGGGGAATAGCGACTCTGACGACTCATCAGAATCGGACTCGGAAGATGCATCCATTTTGGGCGAATATCGCCGCAAGGCCCCACGGGTGTTCTTTCCTGAATTTCGCAGACTTCCTATCGAGCTTCGCCATCGCATTTGGCAGTACTTTTGTCCAGATCTCGACCCATCACCACGCGTCTTCTCCTTTCAGGTGCTACCCAACCCGCGGCAAGACACTATCTGGGAAAGCGCGACCTTGGAGAACCAGATTGCAGCGATAGACGCCATGTTGCGCGTTCATCACGAGTCTCGAGACATTGCTCTCAAGGCATTTCCAGACACCCTGGCGATCCGGGAGGGTCGGCGCATCATTCGGTTTAACAAAGAACGTGACGTCGTTCACCTCAATGGCATCAAGCGCGTTTGGGACCACAATCTCGAGGTCCCCGGCTTCTCTGAGAACATCATTAACATGGCCATGGATGGATCTAACCTGGACGCCAATGAACTACGGCTTCTTCTGGCCTTTCCTAATCTCAAGAACCTATTCGATTTCCAGTGGCATAATGACAGGCGCATACCGCATAGGTTGAGGTGGTGTGCGTCGGATCTAATTCACAATTGCGAGATCCAGCAATTGCGAAAGGATGTGGACATTGGCGAAGATATTCATTTTGTGTACTGCTGGCCAGATCTCACACAGCCGCAGAATCGCGAATTCGCATTGAAGAAGAATCTGTCCAAGGATGAGATATGGATTGATCTCTTCACAGAATTGTTCGACATGGTGGAGGAGGGCTCGCTCCACCTGAAATCGGGTGAAGCTGAGCGGCTGGAAGAAGTCAATTATTGGCCCATGCAGTGCTTTGGCTGGGATGCAGCAGACCGATTCGACGCCTTTCGGGCGAAACACGGGGTTGCTGATGGAGACAAACCCGCTGCTGACGGTTCGGAAGACGACAAGGAAGACGAATCGGGAGACGACTCAGAAGAAGACTCGGACGACTCCTCGGACCAGAACGAGTACGAAAGCGAGGGAATCGATGATGGAAGCATTCACGAGGAGTCTGTAGATGAAGATGAAGACGACTTACTCATCGACACGCAGCAAGCAAGCGATGATGAGGAGGGAGGCGGGGGTGTGTCAGACTATGGCGGGTTCTCTCCACTCGCAGACGAGGACAGCACGCTCTTCGATGGCAACGGCCCTAGAAACCCCGCGGCTCACTGGTCCAGCCCGGAGCCGGAATCAGGAGAAGACGACAAGCCTCGCGGAGGAAGGAGGAGACGACAAGTCGCATCGTCTGACGAGGACGAAGAATCAGGCGAGGAGGAAGAGGCAGAGGACTCACGCCGCAGCGCAAATCGACGTGGTCCAGTGGTTATTTCCGATGATGAAGATGAAGGGGATGAGGAGCAGCCTTCTCAACCCACGAGTCGCCGGGGTCGCGTTGTTCTATCAGATGACGAGGACGACGACGAAGAGGAAGCTGCGGAGAAACCCGCAAAGCCTACCGGTCGTCGTGCACGGGTCCTCCCCTCTGACGATGAGGACGAAGATGACGATGAAGGCGGGGCTGATATTGCCAATATGGAAACACGCGAAGGCTCAGACTCGGAGGACGAAGAAGAGAGCGCGAAGAAACCATTATCTTTGGCTGAAAAGCTCGCTCGCAACCGCCGCGATAACCCGGTATCCGAAGACGAGGAAGAGTCTGGGGAAGAGAGCTCAGAGGAAGAGGAGGAAGCGCCTCCCAAGGCGATGTCTCTCGCGCAGAAACTCATGACGCATCGCAGACGAAATCCGATTGCCTCCGAATCAGAGGACGAACCTGAGGGCAGTATCGTCGGTAGCGAAGACGATGACCTCGAAGACGAGGAGGATGAGGATGAGGAAGACGATGAGAATGGCATGTTTATGAACTTGGCGGATGAGGGCGAATCCGGGGATGAGGAAGGGGACGAGGACGAATACTAGGGTTGAACCTCAGTGACAGGGAGGCTCACGTTTACGTTGTATAACGTTACGACATTTTCTCTCTCGATTTCGAAAGATGGAGATGGGGCTTCGAGGGGTTCATACATCTTACTCACCGTCTATTCGGGAATATGGTCGGATGGTCAGGACAGTATTGGAATCTAAGACAGCGGGTTGAACGATTCAACTTGAATAAACATCAAGATATTTCCCATTATTTGCGCACCATTTGTCTTTTCATTCGTGAGCGTGTTTCACTCCCCAGCCGCTACTGAACCTGTCATCAAGAGCTTCCCGCGGCCTGCCAGATCCTCGTGAAGGACAAGCAGCATCAATATGCTGGGGCAAACAGGCTTTAGCGTCTAGCGAACCGAGGTAATAAACACGCCTTTCTGTTCTCCGTCACTCACGCGTGATTTACTTCCCTTTGTCAGTCGCTATTCTATTGAACTGAACCTGTAGAAAATCGTAGAATATGGAACTCTCCTACTCTTCATAAATTATGATTCCCCGTTTTCCTCTCGGCATATGCAATATCTCTTCTACACATCACTCGAGAAGGGCGTCAGAAGAAACGAGGCACGGATGATGAAGCAACCCACAACCCTCATAGTCACGACAAGAGTAGTGCTCAGGTTCGAAATCTAGCAACTGGACTCGCCTCTCTTTGCTGTTCAAGAACTTTCATTCATAAAAAAGTTCGGCCTCTTCTTTTGACAAGGGTTGTATCAAACGGCACCGCCACAGTGAGCATCCGCTCAACTCCTAAAACCAAATCATCGATACTGTAGTGGAATGTACCTTATTCATATCTCATAACTCATAAGAGGTATCCAAACTATAAGTAAGCAATGGTATCACCAAACCCAAACGCCTCATGAAACCCATCCGTCTACCACCATCGCCCATCTCTTGCTGGTACCAGCCTTATCATCTACTTCTGCCTCCCGGTAACAGCTCCTACAGCCAACGTCTCAATCCGGCCCGAATACAATTTCATGACATGGCAGACCGGATCCCCCCAAATCACACCCCTCAGCTCCTCATCAGACACAGTCTGCGCAACGACGCCCTCATCAAGCCTCTCCGCCACCGTCTTCCGGTCCCTCGGCCTCGCCTTCGGGTCCCCGCTCCGCAACACGACGATCCTCCCCGGCGAACTCAGCGTCCCGGGCGGAAGACGCCACACCGGTTTGCCGCTCTCCTCCCTCTTCCTCCTCTCCCTGTTCCTATCCGACTCCTTACCAGACGCATGCGGAGCCAGCGACATCTTACTCTCCTTGTTCCTCAACGACATCTTGCTCGCCTTGGCAGCCAACCTTCCCTTCTTATCCCCTCCAGAGTCACAACCACTACCACCTCCAGAAACAGAGCCCGTCACCGACGGCGCCGGACTGGCATACAACTCCAACAAACTCTTCACATACGCCTTATCCGCCCTCGCAATCGGATCCCCCTCATTCACAAACGTCAAGAACAAGCTCTTCCTCAGCTCCGCCCTCTCAGGCCTCTTCAACGGCAACAAACTCACAGGCGGCGTCCCAAACGTAACGCAATGCACCCTCTTAAAACACACCGTCAACGCATTCAACTCGCTCCCCGCCCGGGCCGACGTAGACACCATATGCGCATACAACAAGCTCGCCACCGCACCGCCCGCAGAATGCCCCGTAATCAACAAACTATACGCCGCCCGCCCCGGGTCTTCCTCCAGCAACTGCCGCAGCCGCGCCGCGACGGGCTTCACCATCTTGCGCGCCACCGCCAGAAACCCAGCGTGGCACGAGTTCCCCGCGTCGTCGAGGAAGCCCTCGGGCGAGGCGGGCGCCGTGTTGAGGTTGACGGCCCAGTCCATGAAGGTGGCGGAGCCGCGGATGGCGAAGACGATGGTGTTCATGTGGTCCATGGGGACCGACTTGATGACCATTGCTTTTGTGCCGGTTTTCCAGTCTGCTGAGACGTGGGCGTCGCGCTCGGCGCCTTTGGGGTGGTCGTAGACGCGTTCTGCGTATTGGGCGGCCATGCAGAGGAGGGGCCAGGTGGGCATGTATCTGGGGGTGATGTGTCAGTTCGTCTACTTCCAAGGATCGCGAGTAATGATGAGGACTCTATGAACTCACAGTCTCAGGGGCGGGAGGTTCATCGGCAACTTCGAGTTGGCGTATAACTCGACTTTGGCAAAGTAACCCCCCGACACCACACACGTCGCCACAGCCGCAGACTGGCCCTTTGACCCAGGGGAAGAAGATTCTTTACTCTTCTTCCTCTGTCCGCTCTTCTCGCCTCTCCCTCCGCTTCCGCCGCTCCTCTTAGCATCCCCCGGGGAAGTGGTCTGCTGCACCGCTCCGCTTCCACCACCGCCATTCTGGTACGTGAACAAAGCCTTCTCGTTGCCCACCATCCGGTCCCGATCAATCAGCGTCATAACATCATTGAAACACCCCGCAATCTGATCGACGCACGCAGCGGTGGAGTTGATGAGCTGCGTGGCGTGCGGGTGGAAATTCGGCTCCTCGAGGAAATTGGGGGACGTAAAGTCTTTGGCGATGGTCACCATGGAGCCGGTGAATTTGTCTAGGCCGATGGGATGTCCTGTCGCAGTTGTCGTCGTCGGCGGTCCGGATCCTGGCGGCGCGGGGAGGGCGAGGTGTGAGGGTGGTGGGTGGAGGTAGTAGTGCTGGTTCACCACGATGGGTTGTTGATGCTGTTGCTGTGGGTATTGCTGTGACCAGCCTTGCGGGCGATGAGTCTGCTGCTGCTGTTGATGATGATGCTGTGATTGTGGATGGCGATATGGAGGCGGGGGATGTTGATATTGTCCCTGGCTGCCCGGCTGAGACTGCCAGTACGGCGGCGTCTGCGTCGTCGAGGTAGCATATCTTGAAGATTGTTGCGTGGGTGGATGTGGTGGTGCATGGTATTGAGAAGGATTTATGTTTTGGTGGTGGTGGTTGTTCACCGGCACTGGTTTGACTGGCTCGGGGCCATGCTTGACGGCCTTTTTGCGGTCAAACCAGCCCATTTTGAACGAAGCATTCAAGATGTTCCACTGTAACTCCTAGTTCCCGCCTGTGTCGTTCTGCCTTCTGCGTGTTGTTGGGCTGAGATTCGCGAATAAGGTCTTCTCCGTCTACCCAGATTCGGGGTTCTTGGCGTGGGTATCGTTAAACTTTCTACCAGCAGCCAATCTTCGAACAGTTCGGGAGCCAAGTCTAGCGCTCTGCAAGAGAGTGGATTGGTAGGAACCAGGAAATAGGAAGGGAACTCCTCCTCTGAATCTCTTGGCTGGCTTAATAAGGTTACCTTTCTTTCAGGCACGAGGAAACTCGTCGCCAAGAAACGATGAAGCGGTCTGTCAGGAGAACAAGTTCGTGTGTGACAAGCGGGGAACACAGGAAGCAAGAAACGAGGCGTCCTGGTGGTCCTGTGTACCCAGGCGTTCGGTGTCGAGCGGGATCCTTCGCTTTGCCTCGGTGTGTCTGAGAGAATGGGGATAATCACAAGTCAAAAGTCCGAGTCAAGTGGCCTTGCGCAGCTGAGCCCCGTCCCTAAAGTCGGTAAAGTGAGAATCTTGTCTTCTAACCTGGGTACCCAAACGAGCAGGCGAGAAAGCGTGACGCGCTATCTCCAGTCCCCTCTTGGTCGCTACTGAATTAGAAACGCCTGCGCCTGCTCTTTGGTAAAGCAGAATGACGACCAATTGTCCCGGCGTTTGCTCTGGTTATTGCTGTTGGTCGGGGGCGGGCACTGGGATTCGATCCGTCGGTGCGTCTTCGGTGGCGATCTGGCCGCGGCCGAGACGGTGGCTTAGACGGCCGCGGGGAGGATGACCGGCAGAGACGGGATGAGAGGTGGAAGGGATATCCCCTCGCGAAGAGCACAGGTGAAAAGGAAGATGGTCTTACTTGTCCTGGAGTATAGAGCAAACTCCGGACGAAAGAATCGTCAGCCGCCACTTCAAAGCACAGATGAATGCAAAGAGATGGAAGATCAAGTGAAAGAGAGAAAGAAACGCGGATATCCTCCGATCCTTCTAATTCATGTGCCACACCATCAATGGGCGCCAGTTGAGCAAATCAAATCGTAAAAAAAGTCATGTGTCTCCTCGTAGAGCCCTCCTCTTCACCCTCTTTACCGACCACCGCTCACCTTTCCCGCCCCTAGATCGCGCCAGGTCCGAGAATCCCATGTCCCAAACAGCGTCTCCCTCCCTTGGGTAGCTTGTATAGCCATAAGTTCAACCCCCGTCTATCCAATCTGATTCGTCACCACCCAACCAGTCCGCGCTCTCCCGTACAAGGGGACCTGCACACCAAGCGCAGCAACCCCTCCATACCCTCCCACCCCACCTCCAATGGATGCGATGCAGTTCGAGCCCAGCCTAGGGTCCAATACTACATCGTGGCACTATGGCAAGTAAACTAACAGCCCTGACTCCGTCCTCGCATAGCCGATTACAGGCGCCTCCTCTGCGAATACACGCTTGTGGAACTCGCCCGTTACACCTTGATTGGGAGAGGGCCAAAGCTCCCCTATGCATTTCAGACACAGCCCTCTCAGATGTCTCTCTCTCTCTCTGTAGGAGTGGTGGTATTGGAGATGCATATGCAACACTGGACAAATCATGAGCCTCTGGCGTTTTGAACAATCATGCTCAAGCATCTCATACGTCGAAAGAAAAAGGCATAGAGAGCGAGAGCCTGCTTTCGTGACTGGCACATACATGGGGGGGGGCTAATCTAGAATTCACTCCCAACCACCCAGCTTTACAGACAGGCCCATGAACCGACCAATACTCGACAAGTCGCAAATCAGTTCCGAGCCTTTTACTGCGTACATGCGCGTAGCCGCCCAGAAACGACGCTACCGCCTCTCACCCCCTCATTACTCACAAACACCCTTGTATGCATCCTGTGTTTCTGTTGGTTGTACGGGTTCGTGAAGCACCACCAAACGCGCACATGGGATGTTTTTTCTTGTCCATCGTGGATCGTGAGTTAATGCCCGGGAGAAAAAAAAAAGTCTGCAGAGCATGTGATTAGGATGGTCTATGAACAGGGGGAAGGGAATGAAGCCCATAGATCGTCGTCGTGACTCAGACTCGGAATGCAAGCTCGACCACCGTATCAACTTACTCCCATCTTATCATGCGCGATGATTATGTCGCCGTGAGCCATCCATACCTTTGATAGCAATAGTCACTCATGGTGAGAGACGGGGGTGACTCCCCATTGAAAACTCGTAAAACAACTCTGTTGTGTACCAATAGGAACGCATGCGTCTCTTGAAACTAGGCATCTAGCCTGCGATAAAGCGAATGGCCATGTGAAATCAATCAAAAACACTAGCAACGCTACGATGCTTCCTTCATGGAGGAGAACTTTCAAGCATTGATGAAATATCCCAGAAGACAAGCCAACCCGCCGCATAACAAGCATTGAAATCGGGAAACCTACCATTTTCTAGCCCACATAAGCATCCCTCTATACAACCTGCGTCCATCGAAAAAAAAAAAAAAAAAGAAAAAAAAAAAGCATGCTATAGAAGCTAGCTGCCTTAACTGCCGGTAGGGGAGGGAATCGATAAACCTGCCAAGCGAAGAAAATGGGACGAACGGCGCGGGCGGCAAGCAACATAATCCAAAAAAAAAAAAAAAAAAAAAAAGTATCTCCCCAGAACCGACACCGGCACCGGTGCCACGCCGCCGACGCCATTCCCGGCCATAGTTTCTAGGCACGCGGCGAGCCGACGTGCCTGCAGCATTCCGTAAACCTTGTTTTTCCATACATGTAGCTATCATATCGTATCGTCGACTACGAATAGAGCACCTTAAGGAGCTCACCCCCATAGGCAACTTATCATAAAATAGTCACATCTTCATCACCATAGTCATCACGCAGGACCAAGTAGACATAATATAAACAAAGGCACAACTTTTTTTTTTGTCTTCATTTCGCTAGACGAAATCGCTCCGGACATGTAGTCCACCTATCCACAGATTAAACCTCGACATAAACACAGCCCTCCAACTCAGAGGAGGTAAGATCAATGGCATGAGGACAAGATCCATCAAAAGGTGGTTGACTAGATAGCCCAGCAAACAACTTGTCCCGACTCGAGAGACCCTTTGAAAGTCGACCACCGAAAAGCAGAACACAATTCCCGATAAAAACAGACACATTAGACCGGACTTTGAGGATCCCGCATGCTTCCGCTGCCGCTAGCGCTTCCACTACGAACGCTGCTGCCGCCAGAACCTGACCCAGCGCCGTCGCTCCGTTGACGTCGCGTAAAGGCAAACGTGACGGGCGTGCGCTGGGCCATGGGCTGCTGCGCAGGCGTGTTGTGGAGCGACAAGAATTCGTCGTCGCCATTGCTAGACTGCGTGAACCCGGAAACATCGCTAAGCATCGAGGAGGAGCGGCCCCTAGCCTTGAGAGAGACAGTGCTCTGGTGCGTAGGCGGGTAACCCCACACAGGCTGCATAGAGGACGCTGGCAGCGGCAACACAGAGCCGGACGCGGTCATGGTGGACGTGGGCCACATAGGCCCGGCAGGCATCACATACTGCGATGCTGCGGCTGACGGCGGTGTCCAGGCTGGCGCAGCGGGATTGTAGGCAGACGACGTAGTCTGAGGCTGGGCGGAATGACGTTCGGGAAGATCATAAGGCATCGCGGCAGTTGTGGCATAGTTCATGTGCTCATGATATGCCTGGAGCTGTTGAAGCAAAGCGTTGACCTGCTCCTGCTTGTTCGCGTTGGCCGCCTTGATGTCCGCAATGCTGCCCCTGAAGTTGTTCTCAATCGTCGATGTCTCCGCCTGCCAGGCGATGCGAGCCTGGCGCCTCCGCTCGGCCTCGTCCAGCCCGCGGTTGTTGGCATCCGTGATTCTGCCGAGCTCGGTGTCTACCTTGGCGATGCGTGCTGCGATTTTGTTCCGCTTGGTCTGCGCGGCGGCCTGCTCATCCTCCTTGGCTTTCACAGCTTTGGCGATGGCGGCCTTGTATTCCTTGTATTCTTTGGAGGCGGTATCGAAGACAGCCTTTTCGGCAGCCCACTCCTTTTCGGTCTGTTTCTTACGCTCGTAGAATCCCTCGGGTGCTTTCTCAAACTCCTTGAGCTCCGCTTCGAGCTGGGCAATTTCCTTTTCGGATTGGGCTTTGTTGGTCTCTTGCTGGATAATCTTCTGCCTGTGCTTGTCGTCGTTGCCACCGGCGGTCTGAATCACGTTGTCGAGTCTTTCGTTTTCTTTCCTTAGCGAGGCAATCTTGTTCTTCCACTCCTTGCGCAGCGTCTTCAGCCTTGATTTCTCTTCGGCCAGCCGCTCGTTATTCGCGTTGATTGTGCTCTTCAGCGTCGTCGCGGGCGAGTCGGGGCGGAGAGACTGTGGCGTGCTGACGGGCGGGTTGACGGAGCCCTCTTGATCCTTGTTGGGCGCGAAAGAGGTTCGGATGCTGGTGGAAAAGACGACTCGGTTCGTGCGTGTATCGACAAACTCGCAGACGTACTTGGACAGCGGCCGCAGTCCGTAAATGTCACCACACCAACGGTGTTGGCTGGATTGCTCGTCTTGGTCGTCGTCGTCCTGGATACGAAAGATACGTGTCGGCTGCCAGAAGGCGTTGTTTACTCGGACGTAGAAAGGTTTTGAAGTGTCGACTCCTGCCGGCCGCGAAACGTGCCCATTCGCGGCAGCGCTCGGGCTGTCAGGAAAGTAGCTGGTATTAAAGCAGACCTCATCGTGGCCGATGTACGATATCCAAATCTGTTCGGCCTGACTGTCAAAGGGGGCATTCCCCAAGTTGTGGATGTCGGTAGCGTTGGAACCGGCTGACTCGGAAGTAGCATGCGATAATTCGTACTCCTTAACCATGACAATTTTGGTGCTCGCTAGGGCCGCCCACAGCGGCTGCTGAAGACGCACCTGTGTGCTTTGTTTTCTCTTCTTTTTCGTAGATGATACTGTCGCATTTTGTTGGAAAGTCGTGTCGCTGTCGGGCGTAGCAAACCCTGTGTCGGTCGTCGTCTCGTTCGAGTACGACTTACCAGCCTCCGGGTCCGTTATGCTGTGTGTCGACGGACTTCCCTTTTCTCTTCTCAAATACCACTCTCTTATGTACCTCACTATGCCCTGCGTCAGAATATGTATGGCAAGCACGCTCTTGATCCACCCGTGCGGTCCTCTTTTATCGAAACCGCGAGTGAATGTTTCTAACGGGTCGTCAGAGTCGGGAGAGAACCGCCAATTGGCTGGGAGGAACTTTGTTGCCCGGGTCCAGTGGAATCTTGAACCGCGCAGAAGATGCGAGCCTATAACCAGGAAGAAGCAGGTAGTAACGCTCCTCGAAGCACCCTCCCTCGTGTTAGATCCACCGCCCAGAGTGGCGGCGATGACGGGCTTTGCAAAGTCGAGAATGGCAAGCTGCATGGGCGGCCACAGAAAGAGCCACACGAGCAGTATGAAGACATCCATGCAGAGCACCGTAACGAGGGAGGGCATGGTGGAGTTGTAATCAAAGATCTCGGCGAGATTGATGTTCATTCCAGAGCTCGTAGTGACGGGGGGCACAAAGGTGAGGAAGGTAAAGACCATGTAGATACCGGAGAGGGCGACGGGAGGGACCTGCATGAGCAGGATGAGGATGGCGAGGGTGTCGTAGAGAGGCAGAGCCCTCAGGACGGTAGCGGCGAACTCGATGGGGCCGCCAGGGTCGCGATGGACGTCGGCGTTCTTGGTGGCGTTGACATCAATCTGGCGGTGGCTCGCATCAGTAGCACCATTGCCCATGGCGGAAGAGAGCGAGTCGGACGAGGAAGTCTCGGAGCAACCGCCTAACGAGGGCCGCCTGGTAGCGGCATGGCCATTTCGGTGGTCAGGGGCCATGGTGGTGCCGTTGTTGTCGGAAGCGGGCGCAGCGAGGTTCGGGGTCTTGAGGTGTCCGTTGGTAGTGCCGTTGGGCAAAGGCGAGGGGAGAGCCGGGGCAGCAGCATTCTGGTCAGAGGAAGTCCTAGCTGAAGCGTCGAGGTTCGACTGGCTCTTCTTGTTGGCAACTCGCTTGGCGGGGCCTACAAGACCATTTTCGTGCCTGGTATCGCGTTGGTTGGCGGCGCCTTGCTGTCGCTTCGCAGAGCTGGAAGCACGAGGCATGCGCTGGGAGGATATCTGCTGTCCGCCGACCCGGGAGCCCTTTCAGAGGCAGGTCGGGGGGCGCCAGCAGCACGACTTGAACTGGTCTGGATGCTGGAGGAGGGGGGAGGGGGGGAGGCGAGGGAGCGGTATCCCGTTCTCGAAAGCGATCGGGACGAATGTGGCGTGGGCGAGGGCGAAGATACGGAGAGAGAGAGACAGAGAGAAAGGCGACTATGCACTCGACGCAAAGGAGAGCGCAAAGGCGTAGATATTCGGAGGATTGCCGTGGGGCCTCATGCGTCGTGGCTCACGGCAGCAGGTCGGAAGAGGAGGGGAACCGAAGGAGGGTGGGTAGGTGGGTGGTTGAGGTTCCAGAGAGGCGGGACGGTGATAATGATGGTTGAGTTGTTGTTTTTTCCGAACCTTGGAACGGGGGGGAGGTTTGTGTGGTGGTAGAGTAAAGTGTTGCCCAGATTACTCGCGTCGGGGAAGGTTCGGTAGGTGGGTTGAAAGAGCAGCGATGCAAAGTAGGTAGGTACTATGTACTGTGTAGGTAATAGGGAAGGAAAGGTATAGGGAAACAGGGGGCTACTTGGGAAGAGAAAAAAACCAGGCAAAGCCGCAAAAGAGTGTGGAAGGCGCTGTGGTGCTAGGGTACCTTCCAAGTGTATTCGTAGCCTTGGGTAAGACGACGAGATACTTCGGTACCTTGTCCACTTAGGTAAGGTACCGGGGGGGTGGACAGACAGACAAAGAAGGACCTGACCTGAGTTGGCAAGGGCGGCACGAGTTCGGGTAAGAGCCGAGAAATGGGGACGAACTGAGGCGTCAAAGATTTACGCAGTTAAGTCAGTGAAAGAAAAGCCCTCTCTTTCCTCTCATTCGTCTCTGTGTCGTATGTATACGTAGGTATCCGTATTATTATGCCCTTCCACAGACAACACCTACACATGCAACTTGTTGTCCGTGGTGTGGAATTTGTGGTGTGTTGGTTCCTCTTATTTTGTATTCCTAGGTTTGAGCACTCCCCCTTCCCTTTTGCAGCAGCCAGTCCCGGGACATCGAGCAGAGGTGTTAGGGGCAGAGCGCCTCGCTTCGAGTTTATTTTAAAAAAGACTGCGCGGGAACAGCACGAGAGCAGGGATGACGGATGGTGCGGGAAGGGATCCAGTCGCACTGTTTCGACTTGGGTGGGTGGACGGTACGTATCTCCTTGTCGATACGTATCCGAGGACTTCACTGAGGTGCTTTCCATTTTTCACTTCGAATTGGTATTTCTCCTTTCACTTTCCTCGCTGTTCCTCCCGGTCTGATGAGGTGTGGGGAGGTACTTTGGCTCGAGTCCCCTCCAAGTGGGGGCCTGGCTAGATCAATTCGTCCTCAGAGGTCCTTTCATTGGTTGACTTTTGCTTCTAGTGTGGAGATAGGGTCCCTTCTTCTCAGATCCACTTATGACTCTTCTCCACCCTCCCCTCGACCCCCCCGATCAGAACCAGAATCAGGATCTCGGATCTGGACCTGGGCAGTACTTGTGACTCGGTCAAATTATGTCTAGCTCAACGGGCAATTTCCTTTCGCGCTCTTGTACATTGGGGTACCCCCGACCGAGGCAAGCCGCAGTTGCCAGCGCCGGGAGGGATCATGGAGGCCGATTCAAGGTTGCTGATGGGATGAGATGCCGTTGGCGGTCACGCAGTTCTGCAGCCCTCTGGGCTCTGGGGCCGCCGCCAATAAGTAAGATTACAGGGGGGCCGCCGGTGCTGAAGCAGCTAAATGAGTGCTGACTGAGTGCTGGATGACGAGTTCAGGACATGCAGCACTACTTACTTTTGCTCCCTCGGCTTGACTGGATAAAGTCGTTGTTCGGGCAGAGTCCAGGGTTGTCATTGTTTGTGCTGTGAATTGAGCAAGGTACTGGGCATTCGTATGGAAATGCACTCGCAAACTGAGGTTACCATAAATAGGTAGGTCGTTGTAAACAGGGCTGGCCAAGCACGGGAGATGCAGCGCATTGCATAGCTGGTCCAACCTCCAGCGCCCAGGGCCTGGCACAGGATGGATCCCCAGACGGAACGGAAAACACGCAAGCAAGGCAAGAAATCGTGTCCTGCATTACTTGACATTGCAGCATCGTGCTGGGATATCAATGTATAGATTTCGATCCTTAGTTTTGTTCCATCATGCCTTCCGCCCCTTCCGTGCCTCACAGCTTACTGCTCAGACCAGAGTAAGGGATTTTGTAAGTTGAGGTACCTGACATAGGTACCTCGGGTAATGGAAAACAGTAAGGTAGGTAAGGTAGGTTCCTTCCATTGAGCAAAGAACTTGGAAAGGTACCTTACCTATGGACGTTGATGATTCAAAAAGGTAGGTAGGTGGAAACCCAGGTAGGAAAAATGGAAGAACGGAAGGCATCGTCGTCGTGTGCCTTCTCAACTTTGTGTAAGTACTTGCCTTGCCTCAGGAAACTATTAATGTCCATTGCTTCCTTCCACGCCTCATGTGCAGTGTGAAGTTGGGAAGGTGGTGCTCACCTCCGTGTTGCGCGCCTCCTTCCCATGGAACAATCGTCATATCCCAACTTTAAATTCCCTTCTTCATTTTACTCTTCCCAAGTCGTCAAGTCTTCTCCCCAATCATTCCAAACATCTACCATCCCTTCCTTACACAGTATTCGTACGGATACTGGCAAACATTACATTCTTTCTCGTCGACATCCCCGTCAAGTTCAACGCCCCTGACCACCACCGCCACTACGAGCCTAGGTACGGCCGCGCCGTCGCTGGACTTGCTGGGACGTCCTTCTTCTTTCGTCCCTAGCTCGGGCCCCCGTCGTCTTTTCTTCGTCTTGTCCACGGCTTCCGCCATCGACCGTTGTCCATGCTGTCAATCCTCCGCAACACCCATCATCGCTGTTCGCATGACGACCCGGCTCAGCTGGAATCTTTGGGAGCCCACCTGAAGGTATATGGAAAGAAGAGACTGGATGATATCCGTACCGCCTCTGCCTGGTCATTATACCTAACTCTGTCCCTCCAAGGCCGTTTTCAATCGTCAACCCCGCTCATCACTCCCGTTCACCGATCTTGAGGTACCACAAGACATGCCCTTGAAGGCACTCGCGCATCGACGCATAGATCAAGTAATAAGTAGTGGCACTCATATCGGATAGTCGTGCCGCCAAAGCGATATTCAGAGCCAACATCGGGGCTACTGTCAACGGCCCGGTTGAGCTGAGCTGAACGCCCATCCCGCACTTTCTACCAACATGTGCCTGTTTTCTTTCCCTACAAATCTACCAATGCTGGAACACAGCAGCACTATCCACTAGTACCGTAGCGATACATGGTCATTGTCAGGCCCGGCCTTCTTGTCTGCAGGCTGTCTGGGCGGTGGACGATCTCTTCGTGCTCGTCATCCCACATGTCGACGCAACTTGGCCATCACGCAGTACCTAGCACCTTGGAACACGACACGATAGGATGGACCAGTGTGTATACCACATCCCGACTTCCTTGTCATCTCGAGACTAGGCTCTCCCCGCTCTTGCAGACCACCCCCGCGCACTCAAAATTTCTTATCGCTTTCCCAGCGAGCCACGAGGACATCTCAAAGACAACCATCGCCTGTCCGCCCCAGCCGAAGCTCGACATCATTCACCAACCCTCGCTCGCCATAGCCCGTTCCCCAGGCGCACACCGACGATCGCCAAAGTGTGCTCCACATCACGCACCGCTATTCTGACGGAAATATATTCGCCTCAAGGCCACCATTTCGGCTTCCCCCTTTGAGGGACGCGATGCCACGCATCCACGGTACCGCCAACCACGAACCGCACAACGGTGCTTTCCATGCTTTGAAACCCACTGTGTGTATATGTACGTGTATATGTACATGTAGGTGTCTCCTCCGACGCACGGTGGCCTGACGTTCCACGATCATCTTCTTGACGCCGACAATCGGGGCACAACTTCACAAGTCGAAACGCTTTTCGGTGAGCCACCAAGCACGAAGCACAAAAACGTGGGGACGAAACCAATGAACCTGGCCAGACGAGTGCCTTGACCCCTTGGACCCCTCGCACAGTGAAAAGCATCACGGGCGACAAGCCCAGCGCTGGCCTTCCAGAGCGACCGCAACCAAAATCACCAAACACCACCACCACCTCACGGACCAGCGTCCAATTTCAGGGCAGCCATGGATCAGGGCAACGATACCACCAAGCCAGAGGACAAGCCGACGAGACAGGAGCATCGTGGGTGGAGCTTGTGCTCGGCCGCGACTTAACGGCAGAAGACTGAGACTCGTATGCAGCAATGCATATTCGTCTCTTTATGTCTCGTGGTTGACAACGCACCATCACATTGCACTCACACTGCACTCACACTTTGGCTCACATTCAGTAGTGCAATGATTTCTGCGAGACGTGCAGCATCTCATTGCCCTCATCCTAGCACGAATGGCAACAGACTTTTGGGGTGGCAGATTTTCCATGTCGATCATCAACTAGTCGAGGAATGTCGCATGCGTAGCTTTCTGGGCACTGCGCCAACCACAGCATTGTTAAGACGGCATTCGCTCGAGCCAATTCCTCCCCAAATCAAGCATGATGTGACATGACTGGGCCTGCTTGACACGCTGACGGCCTACCGTGTAAATGTACGGGCACGTACCGACACAGGCACACTTTGCACGCGACTGAAAAGTCTCAATAGCGATTGGCAATGACTACGAATACTGCTGATGGCTGGACACGGCTGCGTCCCGGAGATCCGCATCGCTGTTTTCGACCCCGTCGCGGGCCCTAGACAAAGTGGTCCTGCCCTCCCAGGCGCCCATGTCATTGTCGCCTTTGCCCGGCTGTCGACGATCTCCTTTTGATTCGAAACATAACAAAGCCATTTCTGGAAATAACCTAGACAGTGCGCGTCGGCCATCCCTCCTCTCCGATGTTTGGCTGTCAATCACCCTATGGTCTCTCCGAAAGAGCCGGCGAGGCACTGAATGGCCGTCGACCGCTGACCGCTTCCGATGACTTAGTTGAGCCCCTCCATTGAACCAACATCAAATCTACATCCGGACCCAAATGAACCCGCGGGGCGGACGATACGGAGTGGACAACGGGGTTGCAATATTGTTGACGGGGCTTGCCCGTGTTATTACGGACAGGAGAGAGAATCTGGGAATTCTTACGGCGCTTCTACCTTTACCGATAATCAGCTTGCAGGGTCAAGCTTTTCTTGCCGCCATCTCCACCTCTTTAGCTAATTATCCTCCGATCGAGATGACAGGTATCCCACCCGGAAAAGGAGGAGGGACAAAATCGAAAGGAGCAAGACAGTGCGGCAATGCAACCACATCCTGGACCGTCCCCAGGCGTCTCCAACCTGCTCGACAAGTCACGACAGAGGTGATTGGAAAATACTACCTGTGATGGTGGTTAACCCCCACTTGGGCCCCCCCGGGTCTTGAGCATAAACGGCGAGGAACAAGAGGGAGCTAAGCGCAGAGAGGTAAAGCAAGTCGATCTGTCTGTCGGCATTTGGCTGCTACCAGCGGCGCGCCTTGCTGCCAGATTGCCTCCCATGTCACAGGCGGTGCACTCCAAGTGGACTGCTGACTCGGGATGCCGTGGAGAGCAATTTGCAGTCGAATCACCTGATTCGTGGTGCCGCAGAGAAAATCTTCAAAGAGTCAGTGACCAGGCGTGGGTTGCGGGTGTTCTTACTGGGACTCTGTATCACTATGAGTGCCTAACGGTGTTAGGACTTGAAGTTGAAGGGAGAGTTGGAGGGAGAAGAAGCGATGTCACGGCACCCTTCTCACAGTCTCACTCACACTCTGCCGCTGCAGCAGCGATATTTCACCACTGGATCTCGACCATAGCGAAGTCTTTATGAGCCAATGACCTCTCCAGTCATGGATAGCGAGGAGATACGACTAGCACCCCGTCAACTGATCTAGCATCGAGACTAAAAGCCCCGGGAATAAGCTTCAAGACGCCAGCCTTCGTGCAGCACAAGCTACGGCACGCCTCTCATGCAGCTCCAGGCCCCAAATCACCTCGACACAGCAGCACTGCAGCACTGCAGCAGCTCACCTCCCTCACCACCGCAGACTCCAGAGCTTACACTTGCAAAGTCGCGGCTCCTCCCCCTCCATCTCAACGACGGAAAAGACTTGGCGGCCCATGGTCCGGTCGGAAGCTGATTGGTGCCCTGTAGACCGTTATATTTCTGCGGCTGCTTGGCGGGGTCGACTTCCCCCTCGCTGATGTCCCTTCGCACTGTGGTGCTGAATTTGAAGGCGGTCTGCAGACTGCGGCACCGCTCTGCCATCTGGTAGTATGGATACACACAACGAGAATACCCATGTACGGATACGTGAGGCGACACAACGTAATAGCGCAAGGGCGGCTCCGTGCGATGCGGATCTCTCGGTGGGCTCTCTGCGCCGCCCCCCTCGGAGCGAATTTGAATTTTCCAGCGGCGGACACTGGACGCGAGGCCAGCCGGTGCGCCGTAGACGTCTGAAAAAAGAATTTCAAGAAATTTTTTTCGCGGAGCAAATTTTCATCTGATACTGTAATTCTCTTTCCCAGAGTTTGTCTGTTCCGCCGAGAAGACTCCGTGACGCTACACGCGTATGGTGCAGGACGGACGGCGGTTATTGATGCCATGACAGGATGGAGCCCAGTGGCACCATTGTCCTTGACAGCGAAGAGTCCTTTCCAGCCGTTCCAATCACTGGTCTCCAGGTCACATGTCAACCCAACCGCATCGACTCATTTCACGCGCTCAGCCCGCGTCAACTTTTCTAAAATGCGTACACCAAGATGAGGTCTGGCACATGATCAGAGGCCTTTACAATCACGGCGTTGAGTAGTTGCGTGCTGTACCTTTCTGAGTCTCCAGCTCCATGACTGGTATATACCAGGGGCCGGTACGAGGGATATCTTCCGGCGGCGTGCTTTCTATCGTCTATTCGGCAGACACTTGAGACTCTCCTGCGTCCTCCGTAGGGTCAAAGAGCCTCAAGCTTTCTGTAGCCATCAAGCTGTTACCCGTAGACCTGCCTAGCGGACGGGCACGCTCAAATGGCGAAGTTGACTTCCTCTTGTAGAGGACCCCTTTCGCCTCGGCTGGCATTACAACTGATCAAACTGGAACAAAGACTATATGTCTTCTCGCCTCACTCAACTCACACGAGCAACCCTGATTCTTTCCGTCTCGGGTTTCCGTCTCAGACGACCACGGATTTTGCTCGAGTCTTTGGGCCGATGGCGATAGTACCCAGTGCCGTAAAGTAGTGTTCGTGCATGTCTCATAGCCATACCTCGCTAGGGCGCGGCGCTGCCAAAGTCCTCCTTGGCGTCGGGTCTTTTCCATGTACCCAATTCCAGACTACTGACCATATTTCCGATATATTTTGCATCTATATATGCGGCGTTTCGCTCCGCGTCGGTGCTGGTCAAGTCAGCCACCCGCTTCAGTTCACGGCTGAGCCAGGGTAGCGGTTTTTTGTCATGGGTGTAGGTCTTCAGCTCCATATTCAGGTCGGCTATCTTGGCGAAGCGCTGGTGTGAATATATCACAACCTTGAAACAAAAGGTATACCTTTCTTCGTAATCGGTGGACAGTAGCCTTGCGTAGGCGCTGATAACTTGCGGCTCGAGCAAGAGTGCCTAATGGGGAAGACTCATCAGCACATGCTTGAAGGGACGAGGGACGAGGGGCGAGGGGTGCAAAAGAGGGTGTGATGTTGTGGACATACCGAGAAGGTGCGGGTTTGCGGTGACGATCCGCGTTGGCATTGTATGGTTGCCAGTGTCTCGTTCCTGGTTTGGTTGTCGCGAAGACGCTCCCACTCTAGTCTATCTTGGGGATCTGCTGTCTCGAGAACGCGGTCAAGAAAACGGGCGATTGACTGCTCGGCGACTTGTGTCAAGGTAGACACTTGAGATATACCCTACGAGAGCAAACGGGAACAACAGTCAGCGGCGTTATTGATACAAGTTGGTCCCATGAGACCGAGATCGGGACCAGGACTGGGGCAGGGGCTACAAGCGCAGACGGCGGATCAAAGACTCACCAGCCATGGACGATGACTCGGCTCGCCATCTCGTAGTCGGATAGTGTATGCCGAGTTCTTGGGGTCGTAGAAGCCCTGGGAGACTGCGTGGAGATTACGCCAGTCGTTGTTAATGGTCCTCAGGAGGCTGGCCGCGCGTTGGGTCTGGTCTGGATCGCAGCCAAAGGCGAGGCATTTCCCAATGCGCTTATAGAGTTCTCGCGGACTGAGCGAGATTGTGTTGGCGCGTTGCGGTTTGTCAGAGTATAGGGGCCAATTGCGGACGGCGCTTGGGGGAGCTTTGGCGGCTTTGGAGGCGGCGGTGGGCTTTGCTTCGCGGGAGTACTCTGAGACTACGCGGGACAGCATTGACTGTTGGAGTATTGTTGCTGTGGACCTCATTTTCGAGAGATGCCTGCTCTGACGAGCGGAAAGCGTGAGGTGGCTTGGGATCGAGGTTGGCTTCGGGGTCGGGGTCGGGGCCGGGGTCGGGAATCGGGGGTCGAGATGCGATGTGTGAGGGTTATGAGAGGCGGCGAGGATATCGAGGATGGTTTTCGGTGTTGCTTTCCTGAGGGTGCGGTGCCCTCCGGCAGATGAACCACGAAGAGAGGGAGGGAGAGAGGAGCTTCGATAGATGGCCGAACTCAAGCTCCTGACGTTCCCGCGGATTTCGAATGGCGAGATTGAAGATGCGGCGCAGTTCGGCTTCAAAGAAAGCAGACACGGCTGGGCTGAGCTGGGGATAACGAACGGGTGGGATGAGGTTTAGAGTTCCAGCCAATCACAAGAGCTGTTGGAGCTTGACGGTGGAGATGGAACCCTTGGGGGATGTCTTACATCATTTCGCCGAGGTCTGAGGCCATTTGGAGCGAGCTCTCAACCTCATCGATAGTTAACGACCTTGCGAGCCCTGAGTTTGAGATGCTCTGATTGACGGAACCACGCCATCTATTTACATTTTTAATTACAACGACAGTAGCTGCATTGTAAGATTGCGAGTCTCTTGACTTCCACAAGCTGCTCCGACAGCAGTCCCAAAACGAGGATGAGCGTCGTAAATACCGAGCTGCGGAGACGGGTCATTGCCATTTACAAGGGTGAGTTGATATTCTTTTTGTTATTGTTGTTCCTCCTTACTCCGAGTGAGAGCATCGCACTCGTGCATTCAAGCTATATCCTGTAGCCTCGAGGTTTCCCGATGAGTCAAGCTGCTGAGTTATCTGACCATTTTCGTCTGCTTCGTCTGTCGTGAAGAAAACCTGCGCTTTCCTTAACGTCAGTTGCTGGCGCGTCGTTGTTTTGCAACGACTCTTTTCGTCCTAGAGACTGAGTGTTTGATCGAGCTCCATCGAGGCCGCTGATCACAGCACGACCAAGCTCAGAACTCTCTCTACCAATTCATCCTTCTTCCTCTCAGTCTCTTCGTAACCTCCCTCTACAATGTCACTTCACCCCCCCCCCCCCCACCAGCCACTATGGCTGGACTTACTGCAGCCACACCCCGAGATGAATCAAACTGATAAAGTAACTGACCATCGAAAACAGAGCTCCTCTACTTGGGCCGAGAATACCCCCTCGGCTACGAGTACTTCCGTCCGCGCCTACACAAGGCGTTCTCTGCGAATGCGGCGTTGCGGGATGAGGAGGCTATTCGGCGGGGGATCGAGAGGGCTGAGTTTGTGAAGAAGGGTATGTATCCTATCTTTCTTTGTTTGTTCTCCGGCTCTGAGGTTCCCATTCATCGGTTGTTTGCTTCAGGAGTCGTTTTTTTTGTTATTTCTCTATACTCTTTGTGATCTCGTTTGGCAGGAATGATTGCCGCTCTGTCCGGGATGCTTCGCCCTCCATTTTGAGACAGTTCTTTTTGGGCACTGTTGGTGTTGAGGGGAGGTGTCATGTGTAGAAGACACAAATATCGGGCTTCGGTCCGGCAAGTGCTGCCGCGAGACTCGACGGAAGGATGCCCACATTCCTGATCATGTAGTGAGGGATCGGGGAGATGCCAAGTAGCAGGCCGTGTGTTCTCAGACCCTGACTCTGTCCCCTGGCCCGGTATGTCGAAACGAACGCCGGAGTAGACATTGCCAGAGTAGAGACGGTCAATCCTTCGTCCGTGGACAAGGTAAGATGAACTTCATGGACGTTCGGTTGAAGTCATGCTCAATGACCGCCCATGATCATTTGCCAAGTTGGAGTCGGTTCAGCCGTGTCAGGACAATTCATCTTCGGTTTGGGTTTGGGGGTGTTCTCCCTCTTCAAGTGACTTTGCCACATCTCGATGTTGGTCAATACCCAAGTTCTGCCTTCACGTTGGAGGACGACCGCTTCTAGTGGTGCGCCAGGATATCTCGACATATGATAACACATGCCCCCCTTCCCTCGAATTCTCAATATCACAGCTATCCAGACCGGAAAGATTCTGAGAACCTCCCGCGCAGACATCTCAAGTCGGCTGGGCGAAACGCCCACGAGTGTGTCTGTCTACCTGCCGTCTAGCTCGACTACATCCAGTTCCTGAGCAAGTTCCCCATTTACCCAAATATTCTGTTCTATACCGGACTCGCCAAGTGGCAGCATATTCTCCTCCCCAGCTTCACCAAAGTCAAACCCTCCTAAACCTCACCGTCATGGACTCAATTTTCTACATTCTCATTGATCTTCACATCATTCCCCTCTACTCTGCCAATAAATCCCCCACATGAGGAAGCAATGAGAATGAAAAAGCAAAAGCTAACTTATGAAACTCACAGAAATTGAAGCATTGTGAGTCGCCCACAGCCTATGCCTATTCACCTGCGCTTTCAATACTATCCCGCCTACGTCCATCCATCCTCGCAACCTCGTCTCCTTAAGTATAACATTACCAAGTTCCATGACATCTCTTCATCCCACCACCCAACGCCCCGAAGCGATACTCCTTCAAAACCACCTTCAGGAATTACAAGTGTGGACAAAGGCCATGGGAATATACGTCACTAGTACTTGAGAGTGCAAATACTCTTTCATCCCCGGACGTACCTCATGCTGTTCAATGTGTCCCTCCCCTTTCAATGTATCCCGTCCTACTTGCACCCTCCAGCACCCAACATAAGTATTACTACTAGGCAGCTTCGTACAGAGCAAGTGCATTCTGCCAGGTACGGTCCCACGGTCAAAGTCAGACTACTATAGCACAAGCCACTGCTTCATCCATCGCCTATCCTCCTTCCTCACCCTCCCTCCCTCTTTTCTCACTGGGAAAAAAGGGGCGTAAGCTGCTACCGCAGCATACAACGAGTGACAATGCCACCATTAGCAACACATT